CAACTCTCAGAGGCGCCATAAATTGTATGAATAACTTGATTTCAATCAATGTGATTGTGACAGCACTTATTAGAGTGGATGAACCAAATAGATATTAAAGTTAGATATTCATTAGGTTCGTTGTCTCAAACCTCAAGACCCTTGTTCCCAATCAATTGTCGTCGGATAATTATTCGATTTGGCAAAATCAGATTCTCAAACTGTTTCACGCGAATGATTTCGCTCATTTTCTTGAACCTTCGATCTGCTCCGACAACTCCCCGAATCTTCAAGAAGATGTCACCACTCATCCTCCAAATGCATCCAAGAACTGGCGAATCACCGATCATAATCTTCAGGCAGTGATATGCTCGACGATCTCATCCACGGTTCTGCCCTATATTCTGCATCTAGAGACCACTCACGAGATTTGGAAAGTTCTTGAAAATCAATTTCAAGCTACTAACCGATCCAAAGTGATCCAGCTCAAAAATGTGCTACATCACATGTCCATGAAGAACTTATCCATGACACAATACCTTACAGAAATCAAGAAGCTGGTCGATCAAATTGCGTCTGCCGGTTCTACCGTGTACTTTGAAGATATTATACTCTACATCTTGAACGATCCAGCCTATCAATCGTTCAAGACCTCGATCCGCACTATGCTCACGCCGATAAGCTTAGAAAATATGTACGCTCTTCTCATAAGCGAAGAAATCCACATTAATGCTAATGCTGCTCGCTTTTCTACTGCAACTGATTCGCAAACAGCCCTTTACACGACCAAAGGCCGTGGACGTCGGACTCGTGGACACACCATGCAAAAACATAAATCCGAACGTTAGATCTGGCCAACAACCAGCTCCCACATGCCAGATCTGTGCAAAGAAAGGGCATACGACATACGTTTGATGGCATCGCATGAACATAAACTATACATCGCAAGCCAATCAGTCAAAACAGAACAATGCTCTTCTCGTTAGTTCTGAGTCTTCATCCAACGACTGGTATCTTGACTCCGGGGCCTCCTCGCATATGACCAATGGCGTCAAGAATCTGACTCATACCAATGTTTACCACAGCTCCGACAGCGTCTTCATCGGGGATGGAAGGACTATTACCATCGCTCATTCGGGCACGAGTATCCTTCCTACCCCGACTCGTAAGCTTAATCTATCTCATTTACTCCATGTTCCTGAAATTTCACACAATGTAATATCTATTTCAAATCTCGTTAAAGATAACAACATATCTGTCACATTTGACCCCTTGGGCTTTGTTTTTAAGGATCTAATGACAAATCAACCGCTCCTTCAAGGTCCATGTAAGGATGGCCTCTACAGGATTTCATCCAAAGCTTCGTCAATAAAACTTACCTCTGCTCATGCTGCCACCAAGAAGTCGTTCTCCAGTTGGCACAACCGTCTCGAACACCCTCATCTCTGAGTTCTACAACACATTGCCGGCAGCAACCCTACATTACAAATTCCTCATTCTTTTTCTACTTGTATTCCTTGTATTCAATGCAAAAGTCATAAACTGCCATTCGAATCATCACAAACTAGGAAACAAATTCATCTCTCTGATGTATGGGGACCGGCTCCGGTTATCTCTAATCAGGGCTTTAGATTTTACGTTATCTTTGTAGATGATTTTTCCCGGTTTACGTGGCTATTTCCTATTTTGCATAAATCTGATATTGACAATGTTTTTATTACATTTACTACATTCATTGAAAATCAAACTAACCACAAGATCAAAGCTCTTCGAACTGACGGAGGTCGTGAATATGTTAATCAACAGTTGCAAAACTTTCTTCGAAGCAAAGGCATACAACACCAAACATCCTGCCCCTATACCCCCGAACAAAACAGTGTCGCCGAACGTAAAAATCGTCACATATTGGAAACAACTCGCACTGTACTTCAAACGACATCCATACCTTATCCCTACTGGCCCGATGCAAGCTCCACTGTGGTTTATCTTATAAACAGACTGCCCTCCTCTACCAACTCAAACAATTCTCCGTTTCAGCTGCTATTTAACACCAAACCAGATTACACTCACATCAAGACATTTGGTTGCAAATGCTTTCCTTTGCTACCATAGCATACTCGTACAAAATTTCAACCCAAGTCCAATTTCTTTGTATTCATGGGCTACTCCGACACGCACAAAGAATATAAATGCTTGAACAGGGAAACCAACAAATTCTTTATTTATCGTCATGTTCAATTTCTTGAAAATTCTTTTCCCTTTAATCAAGTTGTTTCTACTTCGCAGCTGTTCACCCAGGAGCTCCCACCGTCTATGCTTTTACTGGCTTCCAAGGCATCCGAAATTAATCTTACTTCCCCCATATCCCACAGGACAATCCAAGAATCAAGTTCTTGCACACAACAATGTACCACCGTTGTTCCCTATAACAACGCCTCTCCTGCTCTTACTCCATCTGCAGCTTCCAGTCCACTGCGGAATGTGCAAGTCAGCAAGCACCCGATGATCACACAGATGCAAACCGGATCCCTCAATCCCTCAAGACGTTTCAATTTACTCACTACATGTTCCACTGATCCATCTGCTTCCGATCCCACCAATTATACTGAAGCAAACAAATGCCCCAAATGGCAGCAAGCAATGGCTGAAGAGTTCATTGCTCTTCAAAAACAAGGCACGTGGTGCCTCGTCTCGCCTCCACCCAATGCATCTATTCTATGATGTAAATGGACATTCAGGAAGAAATTCAATCTGACGGATCGATTGCACGTTTAAAGCTCGCCTCGTAGCACAAGGCAACAAGCAAGAATATGGCGTAGATTATGATGAGACTTTCAGCCCAGTGGCAAAGCTCCCTACTTTCTGGGTCCTGTTCACTATAGCTCTGTCACAAGCGTCCAACAGCTGGACGTCACTAACGCATTTCTCCACGAACAACTCACTGACACGATTTACATGTGTCAACCAAAAGGTTTTGACAATAACAGCAATCCCAATCACGTCTGTCTGCTTCGCAAAACAATCTATGGTCTTAAACAAGCACCACGTCAGTGGTATATGACCTTCACCAACTATCTTCTTACTCTCGGGTTCCAGTACAGTAAAGCCGATCCTTCGCTCCTCACCCTCAAACAAGATCAAACTCAAATTTACTTACTCATTTACGTCGACGATATCCTCGTAACGGGCAATAACAACAAGGCTGTCGTGGATCTTCTTTACAAGTTACATTTGAATTTCACATTGAAGAATCTCGGCATAGCTCATCACTTTCTAGGAATCAAAATTCAAACGCTACCAGATAAGTACTTCCTATCCCAAAGCTCGTATGCTTCCTCAATACTTAGATTTGCCAATCTAACTGATTGCAATCCTCTATCAAACCCCTCCTGTACTAAACTTCCCACCCAGGTCGAAGATTTGCTGCTATCCGATCCAAGCGCATACTGAAGGATCACCGGCTCCTTGCAATATCTCACCCTCACATGTCCAGACATCGCATACGCCGTCAATATTCTCTCCCAGCACATGCAAGACCCCTCTCCGCAACATGTTTATCTTCTCAAATGTTTGCTGCACTACATCAAAGGAACCTTAGTGTTCGGTCTACCAATCCGCAAATCATCCCTCATTCTCAGAACATATTTGGATGCCGATTGGGCTGGAGATCCAACCACAAGAAGATCAACTACGGGTCACTGTACCTTCTTAGGTGACACGCTCATCTCGTGGGTCGTTAAGAAGCAGTCTACCGTAGTTCGTTCGTCAACAGAATCAGAGTATCGTGCGCTCGCTGTAGCCACTGCCGACACTTTCTGGCTCAAACGGCTTCTACATGATTTTCACGTACAGCATGACCAACCCATAGACCTATTCTACGACAACACATCCGCTATAGCACTTGCACACAACCCTATTTTTCATGCAAGGACTAAACATATTGAAATAGATCATCGCTTTGTACAGGATGACATCAAAAACAACGTCATTCGGCTTCTTCCCATCGAAACTACCTATCAAATTGCAGATATCCTGACCAAACCGCTATCTACTCCTCGATTCAAGGAGTTGCGGTCCAAACTGATCATTACAGAGCAATCATCAGTTTGAAGGGGGCTATAAGCACCATATATCTAAACTCAGGCTTTACCTATTATACTCAGATATATTGATGCTATCCTATTACAACTTCACACGTGTACCTCTTCATTCTACTAGTCTAAATATATCAAACATATGTGCTGTAGATAGCAAGAAGATAATAATATTTCCTTCTACTTTCCTTTCTCCTCTCCGTCTCCGTCTCCGATTTCTTGGCTTGTGGTATGATACTCTTTTCGTGTTTGATTATCATTCAGTCCCTCAGATATTTCAATATAATAAATGCAAGAATGGTGCGTTTGAAATAAAGGTGAATTCCAGCGTGGAATTAGTTAAAAAAAGTAACCTAAAGTGCACCGCTCAAATCAGATTTGATGGATGATTCAGATGCAGCCAAAACTACATCGAATGGATGGATGGATGGAGTGGGCAAGCAAGCATCAGGAAACACGGTGGAAGCTCTCTCCTCTCGCACACTGATAATATATGTGAAGGAAAAGGACAATTCTTGATGGGAGGGACTGCCGCTCAGTACTCCTCAACTCACCACCCCATGTGAGCCCTCTTAAGCTCTATCATGCATTTTGCTTCTGGGGCTTTCATTAATTAATTAGAGTAAAAGAACTGTCTTCCTCCAATTCCCATTAATGAAGCCTTTGTTCCTATCCAAGTCTTTGGAAGATATACACTACTTTTAAAGCACATCTGTATGCTTCATAGGCATGAGAGTTCTTCCACACGTTGGCTGGAATTTTTAAGTAAATAAATTAACTCTCTTTATTTATAAAATATACAAAATTAAAGATTTATGCACAAACTTCCTAAGTTTTGATGGTGAAGGGAAGCTTATTCTCAGTTGTCACTGCCGTTTTCCTTCCGCACAGGCATACAAATGAAGAAGGTGAAATCAAATCCTCAAGACATAAACAAAATTCAACATTATTAGCTGAGTTTCATACAATCCTTATATAACTTGCGACCGCTATACATTAAAGATATACTTCCTTCATACTCTTTATACTCGAATAAAGTAAGCTCTACAATAAAAGCTGAATATTACTTATTCACAAGTGCGTGCTGAAGATGAAACTTAGGAGCCCCAAATTCCATTTAGAATAGACCGAAATCTGCTACCTGTTATTCTCTTCAGAATCTTCTTTGCATCCGTCATATTAGCTTCCGCAAGCTTTTCCAAATTCCGAACATAGCCCGAATTTGCAACCCTTCTCCTCCCATTATTGCACTCAGTCAGGGATAGCAGAGCTGCCAGCAAGAGCTTTTTTAAAACTGATTTCTCTTCCTCTGGATTTAACAGATGCAGAACTGCGTCTACGTTATGTTCTTCTTGAATGAACCTTCTTCTATTCTTCTGAATCACCATTAAACTACAAAGAGTCTCAGCTGCGGTCTCTCTCACCTCACAAGATATGTTTTCAAGCATTTTGACCAACTCTGTCATGAAACCCATTTCACCCAATGCCTTCTTAGCCTCTTCAGAGACTCCACAGAGTCTGGAAATTGTCTTCAGGGCCGATTCTTGGTCCAAGATTTCTCCATGTTTCAGAAGGAAGAGAACTCGGTCGAGGAATCCAGAATTCAGAAGATAGTTCACAGCCTTAGCAGATGTGAAGCAGAATCCTTCGATTGCTCGAAGACTGATCTCCCTTACCTTGGTTGAATAAATAGAGTTGGGATTTATGACTGTTAGGAGAGACTCGACAATTTTCTGTCTCTGTCTCACCACCTTAGCATGTTCGATAATTTCATCTTCCGACTCCAAGGCTAACTTGCACAAAAACTCCATGGCTTGAATTTGTGGCAATTCTTCTTTTGATTTCATGAGCTTTAGAAAAACTGAGATGGCTCCTTCTTCCACCATGAATCTCTTAATCTCAATGACGCAACTGATGTTCCTCAGCACCCCACAAGCCAAGCCGATCAGCTTGCAAGTGCTGCTTTCTTCACTGCAAATCTTGAGGAGTGCCGTGACTCCACCTTGTGAAGACACCAGCCATGCATTGTTGCCATTCTCAGTTATTTGCTTCAGAGCTTGAGCAGCTCTTTCTTGTCCCAATCCACTTTCACACTGCAAAGCTCGAATTAAGGGTGGAACAACTCCAGCCATGACAAACATTTTTCTATATGAATCGAAGCCACAAAACACTATGACAGCTTCCAAAATCTCTTCTTGAATTGTCGTGCCTCTTAATTCTAGAAGATTGACAAGAATGCTTGCGCTGTCGACTGTCTCGGCAGCGACAATTCTAACATACTTGTCATCCTCTTTAAGGATCTCATTGAGCGCAGAAAGTGCTCGAACTCTCATATCAATGTCTCCAATCTTTAGCCTAGAGAAGATGTCCTGCACATAAAACTTCATATCTTCTCTGCTTGCCCCAGCACCAGGCTTAGATAGAATTATCGCTTTTGAGTTCAACAGAACACCAGAAGCAAAGATTTCATCAAGGTGTTTGATGTGGAGCTCGAGTTTCGTGGCGATGACATCTAGGTCACTCTTCATGAGAAGCTTACCACCAAGGTATGATTCATCACCGCAACGCAAGGCGAGAAGCTCAGCATCCTTTGCTGTGACAGAGATGAGTTGTATCAGCTCTATAAAAGATGAATTCTTTATAGAATCAGCATTGTTTGAGGCAGAGGTCAGGCAGGAGTGGAGGTGCTCAAGCTTGAACCTTATAGATTTCCATTTGACAGAAAAGGTTTGAATGGAAGATGAGGAGGATAACGCCGAGCTTATGAGCTTTGAAGCTTGCTGTATGACTTCTACGTCTTGCTCTGCATTCATATTTGGAATTATGGAGAAGAGAACATAATACTATGGTCGGGACTCGGGCGTGAGGAGAGTGCTGCAGAAAATCAAGTTAAGGAGTTTGGATAGGATATGGTTGGAGAAGAGATGGGCCGGGGGGGTGGTTCTCTACTTCTCTTAGGTGAGTGAGCATTTACTTCTTTCCGGATCTCTCTGTCTTCTCTTCACCCCCTCAGCTATCAGACATTTTTTGGGTTTGGGTGACTAAATTCTGACAGGTTTGGGATCTGAAAGACTGACAGTAGGATGCATTTACTGCACAAAATAAAGAATGAAGGAAAAAACTCCATGAAGATCCCAAAATACATATTTTAGATGATGATTCGAAGGTAAAAGAATTGGAGCAGTGAAAACCTAAGCTTGTAACATGAACTCATCATCATCAGAATCATCTTAATAATCACTTGAAGTCCGCTTTATAATTTTTTTTTTTTTTACTTTTCATAAAATTTTATTGACTGTTAACTACTTTGCTTAAATCTTTATGCGCAAAATAAGATTTTTGTTAGGAATGATAGTTATGACGTAGTTAAAATTTAATCTTTAAGATTGTGATAATAGTTTTTTAAGAACTTTTATCAGCTAAATTAGTGGTATCTGTCACGAGAGCACATAGGACTTTTAAATCCAACTATATGATTAAGTTAGGTGCAAATTAAAGATTGGTTTGTTCATCAAGGCATGGCAGATTATGTGAGAGTTGCTTTCAAAGGGACCACTTAGTAGCCTGCATTGTTGCTAAAAGTTGGTTATGTCCAAAATTCTCATGCCTACTAAATAGTTTCGCATGTGAATACAGCTTCTTTAGAGTTGTACCCTCTGAGGGATTTTGCCTTGAGCCTTTTGGCTACACCTAAGAGACAAATTAAATGCCAGCCAGGAGAGGAAAAAGTATTCTTATTATTATTTTAAAATCTATTAATGCATGATTTAAAAGTGGTTTAGGTCAAGACCTAATGCATGATTTTTTTTTCTTTTTATTAAACAATTTATATAAGAATGGTCTTCTCTCTTTCATAGAAAATGAGCTGGCATGTGAGCCAACTCAATCTCGTAGAATAATTTCAAGCTCGAGGTTAAAGTGAATTAACTAATCAAGCTTGGGCTCAAATCGGAAGTGACTTGAGCACGACTCGATTTGTTTACGGCAATAATCGAAACTGTCACGATGCTGTAGATACATTGTGCAAAAACCAATAAGGGTAGATCAAAGAGCACAAAACAAGGAGCATTCCATGTGAAAAGAAGGACGGGAAGCATATGCAAGTATTTATATCATATTCATCTGATTCTGATGAAATGTTCATTATTTCTATCACTATATCAAATCATTCTCTTCGAACTTGTGGCGGTGAAACATTCTTCATCCATTTTGATGGATGGTTGATGGTCATTCACTCATTCATAAATCATAGAGGACTCGGTGGTGCTTCCATTGTCATGACAAATATATTTGCCTCATTTCATTCCAAACTTATCCTCGATGCCATTCTCATTATATTATATTTGCGTCATCCGTCGCCATCTCCCCAAGAAAATAATTTCCATCATCCATCCACATTATTTTACATTGACCATGCATATTCCGTGGTAAAGTTTAATGATAGTTTAGTACAACAACTCAATTTTTTGTTCTCATTGGTTCAATACTATGCTCACTGATATGTTCAGTGTATAGATTGAATTAATAAGCCATGTGCTAAAGTGGGAGATCTTAGATAAATATGCATGATACCTCATCCATTCAACCAAGCATAGAAGTGGATCCAAGTATTTGAACTAAAATTTTTCAAAATTAAATTCATGATCATTCTATTTTCAACAAATTTATAATTAAAAAGAACTCTTTGAAGTGGCAAACTCAATGACACAAAGTACTTTGATCCTAATCAAATGGACATATATCAAGCATTCAAAAAGTATAATTGAGAACTTCACAATGTTGTTTGAATGATCAAATGACCTTGATGAACAATAACAAGAGTTTCAATGACAAGAATCCAAAGAGCTTATGATTGTTACATTTGATGTCATTAGCATACTCAAAAGTTTAGAAGTTATCAAATCATTATAGGGATCACTCTAAACCATTCAATCAGGCACAATAGACAAGGCACAAATGGGGGTGGCAAGCTATGCCTAGATCAAAAAGGTATCTTCAGTCTAGAGACAAAACCACAAACAGGCGGCATATAGCAAACCAATTCAAAATAACTAGAAAAACATTCATAAAAATATTTTTTAATTGTTTCAACAGGTACGGTGTTTCAGTAGCACCTTTTTATTACAACCAATTGGGTAAATAGCAATTAAATACTCTAATTGGCAACAATTTCATATCTTGCTGCAAAGAAATGAATTAGAATTTTAAAGAGAAATTTTGCTGTAACAAAAATGGTGAATTCAATAGAACTAAGGAGCTCATGAATGTGTTCAAAAAGAGTTTGTAAGAGAATGCCGAACTTCTGTTACTCCAGCTTTAGATGCAACTGGAGTCCCTCCCAAAAATGAATCTTCTCATCCAGTCAGACACCACCAGGATCCTTGTTCGCCAACTTACTTGTTTACTGGATATAGATTAAGCAAACTTTTAGACAACACTTTTCGTGAAACTATCTATCTAAGATTAAGAATCATTGAAGACCATCCAAAATGTATAGCAAAAAGTTATACTGTATGATTTTCCGAAAGTCCTACATTGAAGATGATATACACAGCATATACCTTGCATACACAGAGTACCAAAGCCATTGGCTGCTGTGCCCTATGGATATCCAATCGCCAGGAAGCTGTGCAGCTGTTTGCTCTCCACCTAACGGAGCAAATTGTCCCAGATGCCTGTACCTGGAGTAAAAAATGCATGATACGTTAAAAAAAAACAAGAGTTTATGGTATCAAAGAACAACTGTGATTTAAAACTCCTCAGATAACAAGATTTAACAGAGAGACATCTTATTATAACTACATTGGCTTCCAAGCTTCATGGAAAACTCCATTTTTGGGGAGCAGGGAAGAGTTGGCTTCCTAGCTACATGGAAAATTCCAAAAACAAAGTTCAAGCCCAAGCTGATGGGAAAACTACATGGGCTTCCTAGCTATATTGAAAACAAGAGTTATGGCATTGCACAATCTATCCTGATGTCTGGTCATACCATTATAGTATTTAAGTGAGAAGACTACTTCAAAGGAACAAAAATTTGATGGAAAGCACACATTTTGAATTAGTAGAGCTACTTTATAGTGCAACATTTGTTTTGCAGAGGTCACTTGCATTTATTAAATTTTGACGACTTAGTGATGTTGATTCCCTTGAGGTTTTAAGAGCTTAGAGTATTTTTAAGTTGAATAGAGATAATTTCAAAAGATTCACCCTCAAATTGAATTAAATCAATTTGAATGTCAAAATCGATTAAAATTCAAATAATTATTGAGTTCAAAGCTTCAAACATAATTACTGGATGTAAAACTGATGAGAAACTTTGAGCAAGGATGTATCAAGGATTGGCTAGTAACCATATTGGAGTGAAAAGTTTACAGAAACAAGAGATAGTCCAGTAAAGTTAAAAGAGCACAATTTAAACCGAATACAAAAACTAGTCCATCTTTCAAATGGCTTTTATGGATGCTAAAGAATATGATAAATTCGACAAGAAGGCAGAATGAGGATATATCCCATAAAAAGGCATGAGTACTACAACAACAACAACATCATCATCATCATCAAGTATTTATCTCACTACGTGGGGTCGGCTACATGAATCATTTTTCTCCATTGAGTCCTGTTAAAGGTCAAATTCTCATTTAAATCTAATAAAGGAATGTCAAATCTAATATTTTCTAAACAATTTTAGGTCTACCACTACCTTGCTTAACATAAGACAAATCTAATGCATCTACTCTCCTAACCAGTTCATCGGAAGGCCTCTGTTTTATATAATTAAACCATCTAAGGCGAGTCTCTCTAATCTTATCATCCACTAGAGCTATTCCAACATTTTCACGTATATGCTTGTTTTGTATTGTCTCTAAGAAAAAGGCACAAGAAATCAAAAAAATAAAAAATCATATTTAAAAAAATATGCGGATTTTAGTTAACTTTGTCTTATGCAAGATTAAAAATCAAGTATATCGACTGAAAATATTATTGTTATGTTGGCCACTAAGGAAATAAAACAGGTACCTGAAGGGTTTAAAACGATGGCGACCTTCTCCTCTAATACGAAGGGGCCCTTCAGGGTTTTCTTCACAAAACTTCATTCTGTTGAAGCACTTAGCAAGATACTCTCCTTCCTGTGCTGCAACCTGGAATACCATAGCATAAAATTAAAAGGGAGATTCATCCAAAGAAATTGGATACCCTGTATATACTTTCACAATTTTAACTCCCCAGGCATATGAAAAATATTGAACTGAATTACTTTAATTAAATGTTTGAACCTGTGCTGTCGCAGGGAGCATTTTGACTTGTGAGTCCACCTGGGAAAGAGCCTTCTTAAATCTTTCAATGTCAAGTTCTACAGATTCTTTCACAACATCACTTTCAGATTCTTTCAGCAAATCTAAAAAATCCTTCATTTGCTTGGTCTTCAGATAGAGTGCTACCTGAGGATACCTTTCAATGATGTCTTCTAAGACATCTTTGATTTCTTTCACGGTTAAAGTACCAGAATTATCTTTGTCCGCAACCTTAAAAATTGATGAAATGTCATCCTGAAATGATATTGGCATAACACAAGTATTAGAACAGCATCTAACGAAGATCAAAAGTGCTTGCGACTGCGATATTTATATAGTAGAACTTTATTCTGAATTAACTCGAGAGCAAAATCAGCAAATAACTCTAGCATAATTCAGCTTCCAGATAGACTCTCTGGAAAGGAAATCTATCCTCATACCCCCTAAAGACTTTATGATTCGCATGTCGTGGCATACCAAGAGCTTTTGGGGAGCTACAACACCTCAGCACACTAGGAATGGGAAAGGAACAATTATATATATAATAAAAATTGGTTTCTGATTCCTAATAAAAATTGTGCCCGATACAAATAAGTGAAAAATGGCTATCTATGTATCCCAAAAAATGGAGGGAAAAAAAGAGAAGACTAAGTTTTATCAGTTTGTCAATTTGAGTTTTGTGCACATAACGAACTATAGCTTTTACATTCAAATAAAAAATAGGTTACACATTATAAAAGCTATCACAGAGAAAGCAAACTCATTTGCAAAGTCAAATGCATCATCATTAGCCTTACCCAACTTTCACTCTAAAAATTGACTGCAAGCTACGAAAGTGATGATTTACTTGAAGACCTGAAACATACCATAACTTTCCGTTGAGCTATTGTGGCACAATCACCAAGAGCGTATATATTCTCACACCCAAGGACTCTAAGCCATTCGTCAGTTGCCAAGACACGCCTGTTACCCTGCAAACAAAAAGTAACAAGCGATAAAAGATTTTTTCTAAGGAATGGCCATATAATAATTTCCAAAAACTATCTGGAGATGAGTTCAGAGGATGGACGCAATAGAAATTACCTGATCTATTTGCTTCATAAAGTCCAAAATTATGGGACGTGTACCAATGCCAGTAGACCAAACAGCCATTCCATATGGTACATTAACCTCTCCCGTAGATGAGTTTGTCATTGTAATGGCATCACCAGACACTTTTACAACTTTGAAGTTTGTTTTTACATCAATACCATCCCTCTGGAACTTTTCTTCAGCAAATTGAGTGATCCTCTTGTCAAACCTACTCAAGGAAACACAATTAGAAGCAGAATCTGGAAATCCACCATGACTATGTAAAATAATGCACAAGACCTAGCAACTGAGAAAAATTTTAATTGGCATCTCCTCTGATATAATGATTAAGAATTATATAGAAAAACAGAAAAATGATGAGAATAGATTATAGATCAAAATAAAAACTTCCACTTACATAGTCAAGATATGTTCTCCTGCTTCAATCAATGATATCTTTACCAATTCTAGAGCATTAGGGTACAACTTAGACAAATCTTCTTGTACAAAGTCATGAAGCTCTGCAGCAAATTCAACACCAGTTGGACCACCACCAATTACCACAAAATGAAGATTCTTCTTCCTCTCTTCTTCACTAAGGTTTGGCAGGCTTGCTTTCTCAAAGCAATTCATCACACTTCTACGGATTCTCTGAGCATCTTCAACTTCCTGCAAAACATTCATACATCTTATTAAAGTTTGCAATTCCTTTTTCAGTTGAATTTTAAAAGCCGATGTAATTAACTTTCAACTAATAATAAAAGCTTTATTTGGGATACTGCAGACATATGATAACATTAACCCAATTATGATGCAGAATCCCACCTCATCAGCGCTTCTTAAATTAGCCACAACATTGAGGAAATATTTGACTATTTCCTACAGCTAGACAAAAAGTGTACCTTCAGAAAATGACAGTGCTCAGAGACACCAGGAGTGTTGAATGTATTTGGCCTAGCTCCAAGAGCAACCACCAAATAGTCATAATCTAGTTCAAATTCACCGTTGCCATCCAAGTTTGTTCCAATGGTAGATCTACAGAGTACTTTTTTGTTTGTTGGATCAATATTATAGCATTCAGCCTCAGAAAATCGGATTGGCCCAGTTTTCTGGAAAAATCATAGGATGAAGAAAATTTTTATCTCAATTTAGAATTTCTCTCATTAACAATTCTAGGAGAAAATAGAAACAATGAGAAATCATGATAATTAGAAGCCATGTAAGTAGAAAAGTTGCTGAATTAAGAATGACAGAATGCCAAGCACGTTTATGCAGACAACTAATTTCAAAATTATCCATAACATTGTGTAATCTCTCGTAGCAAAAAAAAAAAAGATATTTATATATAATAAAAGGATAGACATTAATGAACTGATCATCATTCCTACAACTCCCGAAAGAGCCATCCCGTAAGATCATGATTATGTCAATAAGACGCAAAGGGGTTCTTTTGGGCCCAACTTCAATTTCATATCCTCTTTCCTTCAGCTACATCAGCTTTGGGAACTTCTATGTGAACTTTTTTGATATTTCAAACCATTTTCTTGAGAGAAATACCATTTATATCCAGTCAGCCACATTTGCAACACTATCTCTGCTCAATATGTTACCCAATAAACAAAAAAAGTGGTTTTGCCCACGGCCTCCTTATATGAAACACTCTTGTATATAGCAGCTAACATGAAAAAATCTGTTGACAATATGTTGACTTCTTGGGAAAGAAGCATTGCTTTTTATTTTCCTTTCCGAATAATGCTACACTCCCCAAGAAAATTTACATTTAGAATATGATTTCTTATTACAAGTGTACAAACCTTATGTAGCCCCATGAAGAGAGTGAGCAATATATCCACATCAACTTCGAACAAAAGTATTTAAAAAAAAATCATTTTAAGTGTGAATTTATTAGGGGAACGAAGCATTACAAATTTACAATTAATTTTTAACTCAAAATTAAAAATTACTGTAGCATCACTACAAAGACGTATAAATCTTTTGAAAATAAATAAATATTATTACTATTTTTATACTTTATTCACTCATTTAAGAACTTGAACAACTTAATTTATCATGATTTTTTATTATTTTCTTCTATGCATGTGTAGGCACCTACCATAGATCTATGTAACTTACATGCATGTTTGATATGACCCTCAAATATAGCTTGAACAACTTAATTTATCATGATTTTTTATTATTTTCTTCTATGCATTTGTAGGCACCTACCATAGATCTATGTAACTTACATGCATGTTTGATATGACCCTCAAATATAGCTTCTAAATAATTTCAACTGCTTGATTAAGGACATCAAGATTCACACATAATTGAGCAACACACAATGATGTTCAAACAGAACGATATTCCCAACCCCTATACCACTAAATTGCATCAAGATTCTTTACAATACATTAATTAATCAAGATGACACACATCTTCAGACATAAATTCAACCATGCAATTTTGATCAGCATTAACATCAAGTTTAACACAATCATTATATATTTGATTGTCCAATCCAGATCTCTGATAACACTAATTCTAAGCAAAGGCCATCCATCATCATCATTGGGGCATAATGGTCCAAAACGGATCTCAAAGACAACTTCACCCTTAAATCATCTAGAGGACTAAAAGACCCTCAACTGAGGAGTATTTTGGTCCAAATATGATCTCAAAGAATACATGGCTCATATATCCACTAAAAGACTCACACAAAGTTATCAAAATACACTTCATTCAAATGCTTATAAATACTCCTTCATGATAGTAAGCAACTCACCACGAGAACTTACTCTTTAATCCCCAAGGGAAAACCCTGTTGACTTGGTTTCAACTTAACTTCAAAGGTTGGTCCGCAAACCTTCCATTTTTGTTCATTGTTTATAGTACACAATATCAAACTCAAGACAAACTATCAACCCAAATTTAAGAATATCAAAGATCGTTTTGGACACAACAATTTGAAGTCATCTATAATAAGTCATCCATAATCAAAGACTAACACAATTCATGCTAATTTTTGTGCATCTTCATGCATGAATCTATCACGTTTTGTTGAGATCCATAAAGGTAGACCAACTCCTCTTCAAACCTCTTGGCTTTCAACCATCATCAACCTCAATGAACTCTTGAATCCTCCACTAAGTACTATGGAGCACTAAAGAGGCTCTCCCCTCAAGGAAGGTATCTCAATAAATTCTTTTGAGTATAACATGGTGGATTGGTAACAACCTATAAAAACTATTATTCCCGAGTAAAATAAAAATGGTAGCAAGCTTCAATCTATTTCACCCTACACTTCCAAAATAAAGACAAGGGGGTAGCAAGGCCTCGAAATACTCCATCATCAAACTCTAAAGGACATCAAAGGTGTTTCTTCATCATCTGCACTCTTTGCACAACTCCAAAGCTTCCTCTCAATCGGTGTTGTCCCCTATACTCAAACGACATTATCGATTGCACCTTTTTATGTAGTTTATACACCTGCTCTTCAGCTAACATTTTTTCATACAACCTTATATGCCTACATACTCATTTTCATAGTCAATGCCATCTCCTAGACAACATTATGTTCCTTCATCACCTACTCAAATGGCTTCATTGCCTACTCTTTAAGTGGCTTGTTATCTACACTTCAAATGGCTTTATAACTTTAATCTTAACCAACTTGTTGCTTTCAACGCTTCATGGAACTTCATCACCCACTCCTCCATCAATTATACCGCTTGCACATTACGCAACTTCTTTGCTTACAAATGATGACAATAAAGGAAAATTAGATACTATTAGGATTTGGTTTAAACTTATGTTAGTATTTTCATTGTACTTTTTTGGGTTCTTGTATAGCTTTATGTTGCCTATGAAGTCGATAAATAGGTAAAATAGTCTTTAATTAGAAGGGGAAGACAATCAATAAAGATTTTTGTTATGAATTGCTCCATCCTATTCTTCCCTCTCCTCTCTCTCTCTCTCTCTCTCTTTCTCTTCCAAGAAGCTCAAGGAGCTTCATCTTCCTCCCAAGATCCTATAGATAGTAAGTGAGAGAGAGAGAGAGAGAGAGAGAGAGAGATTCAAAGAGGATGATAATGAAAAGTAGCCAAATTCCACTCAGAGAGAAAATTGTGAGAAATACTTTTAATTCAATTCATTTTATAATTATTAGGCTTAAACTGTGAATATTTAAAGAAATAAGATTATAAAGATAAGACCTAAAGATAAGATAAATTATTTGAATTCAAATTTAATCCTATCTAAACTAAATTTAATCCATAATTTAATTCAAATATAGAATTATCCATCAAGTTAATTAATGCAAATAAAAATAAATAAATAAATATAAAATAACGAAAACCTAATTTCTTCTGTTATATCAATTCATTTGGGCTTGTTAAAGCTCTTAGAAGAATCATACAAAGTTCCTTCTCTTAGAAATTTGATTTCTATGGTGAGCTAATGAAACTAGTTCATGTAATCTTTATCATGAGGTTTGAATACAACAATAATCTTAACTCTTATACTGCTCAAGCACACCAAGATTTATGTTGACCTGTGAAGCCCATCTCATCAACACTAATGTCAGAGCTTGGACATAAATCATAGTTAACATTGATCTCAAGCAATCATTATAGATTTAGTTGTCTAATTCAAATATCTAAAAACACCAAATTCAAGGCATAAGGCCTCCATGGATCCATTCATTATCACAAGGGAATCATGAGGGCCAAATGCTCCAACATATAGCTAAAATATGGTGTCTTAATTCACTAACCTTTAATCAACTAGAGGCCCAAAGTATGCTCAATCAATGAACATTTGAACCAAGAATTAATCTTTGACGCAGCGTGGATCACCAATCAATGATGTATCTCACCATGCTACAAAAATAACATTCATCCAAATGTCTTAAATACCCCAAAGGGGCAAAGTAGGGGACTATCTTTGAGCTCTCACTTTCATCTCCAAAGGCGCACTCTTCTGAAATAATTTCAACTCTTATTCACATTCAAGCTCAAACACTAAGCTGACTTACAAATGAACTTTTCGTATCAGAATCCCAAGATCATCTTATTGACCTTTTGTGTTAGTTAATTGCACATAAAATACTATGGGGCTATTTGGTTGTCTAAAAAAGGAATGTGGTCTAAATGAATGTAATATTAAAAGAATAGTTTGAACTTGTATGGATGATTATAAAAATAATGTATGAGATTACTTTTATTTGTTTGGTTTAAATAAAATGCAAAATGCAAAAAGGTTGTGGCAGCCGGGCGGGTTGGCCGACGGTCGACGGAGATGGACAGGTGGTCGATGGTCGGCAGGTGGCTGATGGAAGGCCAGTGGAAACGGCGTCTAGTGGTCGGCGGCAGACAGTTGGCAGCGATAGGCCTGATGATAGCCAGCAACCGGTTATGACTGTCAGGCGTTGGTGGAGGTGGCGGCCAATGGTGGCAGTAGCGATGAGTTTGCAATGTATTTGAAAATTGTCCAAATATGAGGAATTCCAAATACACTGGATTTGAACTAGAGGGTGAATTCCATTTACTTCAAAATTTTACTCTGCATTCCTTTTGCTTCAAGCCAAAAACTAACATTTTCAAAACCCCTGCATTTAGAATACTTTGCACCCCTAATGCAGCAAACCAAACAGCCCCTATATCAAACTCAATGCAATATATCTATCCAAACTCCACAACTATTGAAAACCATTTTGAAAAAGCAATCGTTTCTTTGTTTAGGCAAAACTTACATACAACTTTAATGTAATTAGTTCACACTAAATCTATTTAAGGTTTGTTTGGTTCGAGCATGAGCTTAGCTTTGCTTTGATTAAGCACAAATGACAAAAGTACCCTTTCCTAAGCCAGCCTTAGCATAAGGTAGGCCTTTGCCTCTACACATACTTAAGCACGAGTTAAACTAAGCATGACCAACCATTAGTTAGTTTTATCACATGCATTACAACTTCCTACTTCAAGAATTCACTTTGAATGCTAATTCTACAATAAGCTTTTGTATCTAGGCTCCTAGCCATGATATATGTCTAATGAATTGATAAAAGAATCGCATAGATTTGATGGTATGTTTATACCTTTCTCATGATATTGCGAATTGGCTCGACGATGCTACGAGGCTCAACCGTTCCACATGTAACGCTTGGTAGCAAGGGAGTGAATGCAAAGTAGTTACGAGGTGAAACAACCCTAACATCATACAAGGAAGTGTCCAAATTTTTCAGGAAGCTTGTGCCAGCCCAGCCAGTTCCAAGAACAACCAATTTCTTCTTGGGACCTGCTTGAGCATATTCAGAACTTGGGTCGGATCTTGCATCAGCATATGCAACAGCACCTCCTCCACTGAAGAGCACAAGACCATTAAACAAACGCAATTTATTAGAAACCAGTAAAACATGGAGCAGACAGCAAAAGCAGGTAATCAGATACGAGATCAAAAATTTTCTACATTCACCAAAATTACCAAATACAAAACGAATAATACAACTGTGCTGCAACAGATCATAGGCTAAAATCGGGGATCCATAAGGCTCTGTTTGTTTGAGGGAACTGAAATAGACGTGATGGAAAAGGACATCTTTCACCAAATTGATTGGTCCAGAAGAAATTTTGTTTTGAAATTTTAGAATTTTTTTTTTTTTTTTTTTTTGATAAATTGAAGAATGAATCCAATCTAAAACAATTCACCCTTTAATTTTAGGTTATTCAGCTTTTCATTGATTTTGGCAAGCGTTAATGTATTTTCTTTCCATTTAATTCCCTTTAACCGAACAAAACCCAAAAAATAAAAGAGAAAATATGACTTGTAAAAAGAAAGTACAAACCTGACGGCGACAAGAACGGCGAACTTGTAGAAACCAGGGTGGCGAACCATTCTCGCCGCCCGGTCGGAGAATGCCGTGAACCTCATCGAACGCTTTCAGGGTCAACAAACAAATTCAAGTTGAGGAGAAGGAGGAGGAGAAGGAGGAGGAGCTATTAGAGGAAACGCTCGCTCAATTGCAGCTGCTCTAGAAAGAAACTTTTAATTTGAATTGGGACACGCGTTCTTAAACATGCCTCCGACCCCATTCGGAAGGGCATAAAGTCATAATTCATAAAAATTATTTTCTCTCAGAATTCCATTTCTTTGACTTGTAGAACAAGAAAAGAGCCCATCTACAGCTCGCGTTGCGCACCCCGAAACCTACCGAGCATCTTAGGGGGCCATTTTCTTTTCGATTAAAGTGGGTGCAACAATGGGTGACGAACAGGTGATTTGAGAATCCTCTTCCAATTTTCCTGGAGTTTAAACGGAACGCGGAAAGAAGGGAAAAGAAACCCCAAACACGACAAGACGCGTTTGGTGCGTGCAGAGGAACGAATAGATCGAAACCGTCAACACCCACCGACAAAGAAAGATCTGACGGTAGCGAACTTTATTTAGTATTTGGTCGCCGTTTATTCGTAGAATATTCGTCCGGGTCGTCAATGAAAAAAAGAAAAACATATTGTGTCGATCCTACACAGTAGACCCGATCACGACCCAAATCGGATTCGAATTTCGGTGGAACCTAATAAATAATAATCAATTTGGAGTTCATCTAATTGCAATTATTTCGGAACGAATTGAAATTCATGATCAACATGAAACCTTTCTATTAATAGGTCATACTCGAATTGGGCCAATCTTAATACAGATATGACATAAGTGATTTAAAATTAATATCTTTTTTAACAGAAATTAATTAATCAGTTAATTAATTTTAGTTAAATATTTCCTTAACGATTTATTTCTATTTTCTTCATTTCAAAAAACTGTTAGCAAGTTAGAAACTTCAAAAATTAAATCGGAGACCATATGAACTCCAATTTCAGCAAACTTACAATTGAATTGAACGTCTCAAAAATGCGAACCCAACAACACCAAATTCGACTCAATCCGAACCCAAATGACTCCAAATCAAAGACTCAATGCATATTTGGAAGGTTTAAACCATAATTTGGATTACCAAATGGTTTCCAAACATGACATGTTTATACTCGAATTGAGCGGCTAGACGAGACGAATCCAACGAGCCTAAGATCATTGAATTCTGATATCTCTAAGACATTTAAATGTCCAATAAACGGTCCACGATCAAGAGATTTAAGATCGTCCGTCCATTCAAATCACTACCAATTTAATTTCCTATTCATTTACATTTTTTTCTAGGTTGATATTAGCTTAATCCTGTATTGATTCGATCTTAAAGAGATTTTTTCATTTGTTTTTTTGTGATGAGATTTTTAATTTCACGTATTTAGTTAATATATTGAACTCGTTCTAGTAGTAATCAAATGATTTGATGATTGGAAGTTATTTTGTGAAGAAAATAAAATAAAATAATTCACTATCAAAGTTTTATTATTTTTAAAACTAACTATTTCGGTCTGAAGTTCGGATGTAAAAAGTTGAAGGAAAATTTAAAAAAAAATAAAATAAAATAGACCCCCCCTAAATACATTTTTTGGCTCCGCCACTTCATGCATGCTTGTGGTTCGAGTGTGAGAGTGAGAGTTTCTTCTGAGAGAGTAAGGGCTTGGGTCGGTGTTTAGCTTCTTGTGAGAGAGAGAGAGAGAGGAAGAGAGGTGAATCCTTCTTGTGTTCTTCTTTAGCTTGTTCTTTTCTCGGGAAAGACAATAATAAGGGACTATCGCTTGGAAGCATGATTTTGTGTACTAAGAACTTGTTCTTTTGCAAGCTTAGCTATATGCTGGATGCACAGGTATATCTCTCCTATTTATATTAGAAAAAATAGTGCATTGTTATAGTTGCACTCGATTTAGGTTGTTCATGTTCTCTAATTTTTCGATTTCTGCATATCTTTTATTTAGATTAAGAAAATTGTATCTAAATTTTGGAGAAAATTATAAGAATTGTATAGAAAAAAAAAAACTTCCTAATATGTTTTATTTGAAAGAATTTTTTTTTTCTGCTATAAAATGGATGAGGTAACATCCATTGATTATAATTTAGATGAATTCAATAAAGTCATCCTACATCTAGAAAAACTTAAGGCTAAGATAGAGGACGAAGATAAAGCTATTATACTTCAAATTTTTTTGTCAAACTATTTAAATAGTTTTATTAAAATCTTGAGATATGGGAGAGAAACTATAACAGTAGATAAATTCCAAAATGCTCTTTCCTTTAAGATTTTGAACATGAAAATTTTTGGAATAAAAAAATAATTTTGGAGAATGATTAATATTCATGATATATCACAAAAAAAGATAGAACAATTTCAAGAAATGCAAGTCTAAAAATAGAAGCAATTCAGCTTCTAAAAAAGTGTTAAGTATTGACAGTGTAATAAAACTGATCGCATTATAAAACTTTATCCTTAAAAGATTTCAAAATATAAATCTCAATCTCAACTGGATGTAGCCATTATTGAAGAAAACTTTGATAATATTGATGTTCTTAATGTTAGTCATTATAAGAATTTTAGGGTATGGATTATTTATTTGGGTGTACTTATCATATGAGTCCTATTAAAGAGTGATTCTCTAATTATTAAAGTTCAAATGGGGGGAAGTAGGCGAGTGCCAATAGTCGACACAAGTCAAAAATCTAACCCGAGCCCGGCCTAAAAATTTTGGATTCGGATAAACCCCTTTGAAAAATGAGTCAGGTTCGAGTTTCAAATCCTAACCAGATTATAAATTCAGATCTAGTTCCAATCAACCCAAAAATCTAAAATCAACTCGCCAACTCACCTACAGCACACCCGTGCTTGCCTGCCTTATGGCCTCTCCATGCATTGCACTCTTGGATACCTGTACGCGCTCGCTCGCACGCTGCACCCACTCGCCCACATGCATGCCCGCTTGCCTGAATACGCAAGCTCACGGCTTGCCTGCTAGCCTTGCCCGCACGATCGCTCTTTGTACTCGTGATCACCCTGGCCCATTGTGCTCGCAGTCACCCTTGCTCAGGTTAGCGGTCCAATAAATCCATGTCGAGTCAATCTGGATTCAAACGAGGTTGGGTTCAGGTCTGATTCAGTGACCTATTTTCCTAACCAGTTGAGTTTGAGTCGAGACAGTTGATGGCATGTCATTTTTGAGTTGGAGTTAAACCCAACCTGAAAGCTGATTTTGATACCCTTATGGGGAAGGTCTTACTTGGAAACAACAAAGCTTGTGATGTTGTTGGTATTGGATCTATTGTAATTAAGATGCATGATGGTGAAAATTGGTATTTTTGTCTCTATTATTGATGATTATAATATCAATACAAATACGTGTATTGACTATACATATAATGGGTACAAATACGTGTATTAACTATATATGATTCATAATAGATAAAATAAATAAGACTAGTAATATTGACACATGTATGTTATAATTCTTTTTCTGATTTATGAATACTTTTAGTATAATGACTTTATGAATTTATTGATTCTTGTATCTACTATTGATTCATTGAAATAATTTCTTACTTTTGTTATTAATTATTTTGAGTCTTACAAATGATAACTAGTCATTAATAAGATTGAATGTTATTGACTATATTGATTGAATTGAGTATACATATTGATTATTTAAGCCTAGCATTGGAAGCTTTATTTAATTCGTGTTTCTATTAAACTTTTTAGCTCATTACATGGATTTTAATGATTTCATATTAGAGAAGAGATTAGACCCAAGTGGAGTGAGGTTAGAGATTCTATGGTTTTTCTTTTGATTTTTGTTTTGTTTTTTGTTTATTCTATTGATGTCAAAAGCTTGAGATAGATTATGGATTTTAAGTGATCACCTGGCTATTGTAAATATAATTTTAGAGAATGTAATTAAATATTTTGATGTAATGATTTTAATTATTTTTAATGGATTAGTTTATATTGATGAACTCGTAGAACCTCTAGTTGATTATTTAAGTGATTAAAATAGATAATTCTTCCTAATTTAATCTTAGGATATGACATTCAGGAAGTTGGATTCAAGCAATACAAGATGAATATGATTCTCTTATTAAAAATAATGTACACTTGGATTCTTGATGATAAGAAAGAATCAAAAGGTTCTCTCACATGTAAATGGTTCTATAAAATCAAAGAAGGAAATACTAAGAATGAAGCAAATAGATACAATGCAAGATTGGTTGTTAGGGTATACACTCAGAAAGAAGCTATTGACTTTACTTAGTTTTTTTTCACCTATTGTTAATGATACATCAATTCAGATATTGATGGGGTTAGTGGCTTTCTTTGATTGGGAATTATAATAGCTAGATGTTACGACAACATTCTTCCATGATGAATTAGAAGATAATATCTTGATGGCTCAACAAGAGGGTTTTGCTTTAAAGGGTGAGAAAAATCAATTTTATCTTATTAAGAAATCTCTATATGATAAAGGGGCATAAAATAAAAAATAAAGTAAAACAATTTTCTAGGATTAAATGGGGGCATTTAAAGAAGTTGTTGGGTCAACCCGAACCCGACCTATTTTTCAAACGGGTCGATTTCTGGAACCCGAACCCGACCCGTTTAGAAATCGAGTCGGGTCCAACCCGGAATTTTCGGGTCGGGTCCGGGTATATTGTTGGCTTGTAATAATAATTTGGAAATTTATAAGCTAAAACATATTCTTAAATCTAAATTTGATATGAAGGACTTAAGTGAAGCTAAAAAAATTATTGGACTAAAAATCTGAAGAGATCGCAGAAAACATCAGTTGTGTTTATCTTAGAAGAATTATCTTATAAAAGTTCTTAAAATATTTTCAATGACAAATCTAAAGCAGTTACTTTGCCTCTTAAGAGATAGCTTAAAATATCCGCAGCTAAGTGTCCAAATTTGGATGAATAAAAAAGAAAAGTTGTAGAAATTTCCTTATGATATTGTTTTTGGGTCTCGTATGTATAATATGGTTTATTTTAGGCCACCCATTATTGTTTTCTCTATCAATGTTCTAAGAAGATTTATGTATAATCCAAGGTTAGATTATTGAAAAGTAGAAAATGGTTATTGAGGTATATTCGATATGAGTATTTGTTTCAGATCAGGTGCTGATGTGATAGATGTTACATGATATATTCACTTAGATTTTGCATGAGATTTAGACAGAGGGAGATCTATTACAAGTGATGTGCTTGTGTTTTGTGATAGAAATATCATTTGCAGTCAATTGTAACATTATCATATTGCAATGACAAAGGCTATGAAAGAATCAGTCTAGTTATAGGATTTGCTTAGTGAGTTTGGTACGTATTTTTCACAATGTCATTATAATTTTTACAGTCCGTCAGAGTGCATTGCATTTATGTAAAAATATAGTTTTTCATAAAAGGACAAAGCATGTGGATGTTTGTTTCCATGGCTTTCAAATTTTTTTTTTTTACTTCAAAATTTTTCTCTGCATTCTTTTTTACTTCAAATCAACACCAACATTTTTAAAACCCCTATATTTGAAATATTTGGCACCTCTTTTACAACAAACCAAATAGCCCCTAAAACAAAATCAATTTCATGACCATATATAATCATCAACTCTTGTTATTTGTCACTGTCACGAATTTATAGTGATTACGTCCTCTGCTATGGATAGCAAGTAAAATCGAATTTGGGGCGTGTTTATTCTCTTATATGGCAAAACTCCTAAAAAAAAAAAGAACAATATGTAAAATTATATAAAAAGAAGCAGACCCTAACCACAAACTCCACAATCGGCCAACTCGAACTAAATATCTGTGGCTATATCGATCAAATCCCTAATTCGGTTTGGACAAATAATTAATACGGTGATAATTGCAATAATATCCCTCCTAATTCACACCTCATATCATTACTCATTTTCTAATAAAGTGTGACATTATTTTTGTTTAAAAATTGGCGCACAAGACTTTGACGCGCTTACACTTTGACTTGGTTTTGATTAGTAAGTATAAACAAACTGGCAGTACTGTTTAGAAAAATTGTATGTGTGAATCTTCGTGAAAAACACAGACTTCACGATGGCCGCGAGTTTCTCAGCACAAAATAAATTTGATTAATTGTGTGAAGTTGATTTAGGAAAATATTATGAATTTTCTGTTTCTGTATTCATATTTGTTCACACCTCAAAGCATGACTTGTTCTAATGGACTGCGACCTTCTTATTTATTTTCTTCAAACGTTTACATGCAAGACCTTGACCTATAGTTGACTTACGTTCAAGCTGTGAGAACTTAATTTTATTTTCGGATTTTACCATGCAATTACACATGCATTTAACAGAAACTCTCAAGCAAAAGCAATTAATATTTCTGGTCAAAATCACGCAGCCCTCAGGTTGTTAGTTGGGAGCTTGGATCTCACGTATATGTTGTGTGTGTATTTGAATGCTGCTCTTAATTTCTTCAAAAAAAAAAAAAAATTCCCAAAATCATTTTAATGTTTTTTATAATTATTTACCAAAAACATTTCAACAAAAAAAATTCCCAAAATCATTTTAATTTGCCGTCCACAGAATAAAAAAATCGCTTATAAAACCGTTCGATCACTGCATTAATTGTTCTATTAATATTTTAGCTAAATTTCTTACCATAATATTAATAAGAATAATTTTGAGAAGGTAAGTCATTCAATTTAAGATCATAATAGAAAGATGACGTACTATTAGCAATAATTAAAATATTTATTTTTAGAAGAATAGTCACACACTATAAATAAATGAGTGATTTTTATGTTTTTCTTAGTTCGGTAAGCTGTCCAAATCCAATTCATCAAAAATTTTAAATTTAATTTCAGCTATGCTTTACATTTGAGCTCGGCTTTTATACATTTTAATTTTATGAGCCCAATTTAAAACATGAAAAAAAAAAATAAATGAAACTAATTTAATATTTTATTAATAAAAAAGAGGAGAAAAATTTTTTGTTTTGAAAACAAATATAATCAACGCGCAGTGGCCAGTTTTTGTCTCAAAGTGATCGAAATCACTCTACATATGATAACTTATGTATCGCGTTATAGAAATCATGTGCCACATGATGATTTCGTAAAAATTTTAATTTCTTTTGGTCTAATAGTTGGTTCGCCGTCATACACAGGGTTATATATCAAATATTCACTAACCTAAGTCATAATAGCCATACTTTCTTGCATACAAATATTTCACAATATATGTGTAAGATAATGTCATGTATTCTTTCATACATTATGTAATTCCAACTGATAACTCATAAAAGTTATGTTTGCTAAAATAATTGAACTATGTGAATCATGATGAATGAATCATGTCAAGTATACATACATGTCAGTCGTTCTATCCATATGAAATACAATTATCATTTTCTTAATACATATAATGCTTATTCAATTTGAAGAAAGTGCCTCAAAGTACAAGCATATCCAATGAAACTTTGATATAATCATGCCAATAAATACACATTGAGCAAATCTACAACATACTAAAAGCTAAACAGTGAAAATTTACTAGAAATAGATATATCAAAACTATTATAATTTTTAACCATCGTAGAAATCCTGTATAAAATCAAAACCATTGAAATCAAAAGTAGAGTAATGATGGCCTTCCTTGAGATGAACAATTTTCCTAACTAATCTGACAAATGGAATTGGCAGGAAAACCTAACTTCTCACACAAATATCATGATACTTCATTTGAAGAAAATGAAGACCAACATGATATATAACGATCTAAGTCCATTAATCTTTCTTCTATTTGCTCCATCTGACACCGATTTCGAACTCTTCCATCTAGTTACTAGCATCCTCATGGCTTTCGCATGTAATCTCCATAATAACTCATCTTCCTTTTATGTCCAAGTACGCATAACATTGACATATTTTGTTGGACTTTACCTTAAACTCTCACAAAGGATTGGGTGACCAAGCTAAGCATTTCTTCAATAGCAGGCTTCCCAAGCACTACTTCCAAAAATGTCTCGTAAATTCTCTCTAGATAATGTTTATACTCCAAACTATGCATATAGCATCAGAACATACTCGTAGCAATCAAAATATGCACGTAAGCACCAGAAAAAAGTATTTGGGACTTATATATGTTTTCAACTTGAAAAGTATTTGGGATGAAATCGGCTTAACTAACTTTAGAGACCTGCAAAGAAAATAGAGTTGTATTGTATTGTATTCTCTTTAATTGGATATATTTTCAACTTGAAAAGTATTTGGGATGCTTGCATTTGTTAATCCGATCAAATTTATCTCATTAATAACGGTTTTGGCATATATGGATTTCAATAATTTGTGTTATATTCTCTTCAAGTATGATGGATATTAGAGTGTAGTGAAAATTCATATTATAATGAAATATGTTGGTAGAAGTCAGAAAAATTTAAACCTTGTCAGAAGTGATATTAATTACCGGCGATAACAACCATGGGATTGGAACACATAACTTGCAAATATTTCAAGTAGACAACCATTTTGTTGTAGAGGAAAACGTGATACAAAATTTATGCTATATTATTAAATAAAATAATATAAAATTTCTCTCCTTATCTGATTGCGTGCCGGATTTTCGTACAACGCTAAGACGTTAAATCTTATATTTCTCTACCGCTGCGAATACTCCTGGACGCAACAGACGCGAAAATCTACCCGAAAAAAAAAAATCAGTCGGAAATATTTCATCGTAATTCGTCAGAAATCCGCAAGGAAAATATTCTGCCAGAAAGCCACCGATAAGAGATAATTTTCATGTAGTTTTTGTTATTATTGAAAGAACTAACCAAAACACTTTGCATGTGCCTTAGGGGTTATGAGTACAACTTACTCTACCACATTAATTGAACACCATAAATACGCAAAGAAATGGAGAAGACAAAATGGCGATGCGAACAGATATTGTCGAGTAAAGAAACAACCCTAGACGAAGAAATGGGGAAGACATTCTTCAAACCTAGACGAAATGGCGAGTTGCCGAGCAAAGAAGCCTTGTTCGTGCGGCATCGGTGTGACCTTTTGATGGGAAATAAGGGGAGTGGTATTTTAGATGCTGGTAGGCGTGTAAATAAAGAACTTTGGGTGTTAGATGAGTAAATAAATGATTTTAAATGTTTTGTACGTAAAAATCCCAAAATTTACTCTTAAAACGCGTCGCACATGTTAACGTGGTCTACCATCGAATTAAGTGACTGAACTATCGAGTAATTTCCTTCCCGGACTTCTGTGACGTTTTGGAAACCTCCGTAACTCCACCTCGTAAGTGCACTTTCTCCGGTCTCCAACTCCTGAATCCTATAAATTCTCTCATCCATTACGCAGACTCCTCACTTGCATTTCCAGCTACAATCAAATTAAGCAAACTTCCATTATGGCCTTCTCACCCTTGCGCTTCTCCGTTCGCCGGCGACTGCCAGAACTAGTAGCTCCATCGTCTCCGACGCCGCGAGAGCTCAAACGGCTGTCGGACATCGACGATCAGGAAGGCCTCCGCTTTCAGATCCCCGTCATCCAGTTCTACAGACACGATCCCGCCATGGCCGGCCGCAATCCGGCGGCAGTCGTACGCGATGCGATTGCACGAGCACTCGTCTTCTACTACCCCTTTGCCGGCCGGCTCCGAGAAGGACCCTGCAAGAAGCTGTTGGTGGATTGCACAGGCGAAGGCGTTCTGTTCATCGAGGCCGAGGCTGATGTGAAGCTCGAGGACTTTGGTGATGCCCTGCAGCCTCCATTCCCCTGCCTCGAAGAGCTACTGTTCGACGTTGAGGGATCATCCGCAGTGCTTAATGCGCCTTTGCTGTTGATTCAGGTGACCCTGTTAAGCTGCGGGGGATTCATCTTTGCCCTCCGTCTAAACCACACCATGTCCGACGCGCCGGGGTTGGTGCAGCTAATGACCGCCGTGGGAGAGCTAGCTCGAGGGTTGCCGTCGCCCAGTATTGTTCCAGTCTGGCGCCGAGAGCTCCTGGAAGCACACCCGACTCCGGCGCCTTCCTTCCCCCACCGCGAGTACGAACAGGTTCCCGACACAGACGGCACCATCATCCCTCTCGATGACATGGCTCACCGTTCCTTCTTCTTCGGCCCCCGAGAAATAAGCACCCTCCGTTCTCGCCTACCTCCGCAGCTCCGCCGCTCATCCTCCACCTTCGACATTCTCACCGCGTGCTTATGGCGAAGTCGCACCGTCGCCCTTCAACCCAGCGACCCAAACGAAAACTTCCGCATCATCTGCATCGTCAACACCCGCGGCCGCTTCAACCCTCCTCTGCCTTCCGGCTTCTACGGCAACGCCTTCGCCTTCCCGGTTGCAGTAGCCACTGCAGGGGAACTGTGTAGCCGCCCTCTGGCTTACGCAGTGGAGCTAGTGAAGACGGCAAAGTCGCAAGTTTCAGGGGACTATCTCCGTTCGGTGGCTGATTACATGGTAAAGAACGGTCGGCCACATTTCACTGTGGTACGGACTTACGTGGTGTCTGACGTGACGCGTGCGGGATTTGGTGATGTAGATTTTGGATGGGGAAAGGCGGTGTACGGTGGTCCGGCGAAGGGTGGGGTTGGAGCGATTCCTGGTGTTGCCAGTTTCTTTGTCCCTTTTGTTAACTCCAGCGGAGAGAAGGGGATTGTTGTTCCCGTTTGCTTGCCGCCGCCTGCAATGCGGAGGTTCGCCGTCGAGATACAGAACCTCCTCACGGCTCAACATGGAGGAGACGACCAAGTAGTGGATGGTGATAATAATAAGATGCCCTTCTTACTGTCTCATATCTGACGGATTTCGGGTTTCGGCGACTAAAGATTACAATTTGCTATTAGTAGTGTGCTGTGCTGTTTGGTTTTGTTATAAGTCCGACTGGGCCGCTGCTATTAAGCCTCTCTTCTTCTTCTTCTTCTTTTTGTTTTTAAGCGCTGGTTATTTTCTTAAAGTTACTGGTGTCCAATTATTGTATGTAAATCCCTCTATATTAAATCATGGCTTTTAAATTAAAGTTTTTGGTACCCAATAATAGGAACAATAGATCTCTACTATTGCATTTGCATTTTAACTCGTTTCTATGACCAGCAAAGCAAACCTTCAAGAATATGAACATAATTGTTTGAGCTTACAATTCCAACAAAAATAAATTCAAACAATAAAACAACAACAAAGCCATCATTAAAGACAAAAATGATTAATCATCCTCATCAACTCTAAATAAAAACAATCTCAGCTTTTGGCAGATTTCAATCAAAGGATTAGTATAATAAAATCGATCTGGCTTACAATTTTAAGTAAAAAATGTCTAATCCTCCTTTCTGAGAAGAATCCAAGGCGCGAATTTTATATCATTAGATCATCTTCCTCACTACTCAAGCAAAATCTCAACTTTAGAAATTCACTAAAATTTTTATAAAGCTTCAAAATTGTAAAATATAAACTTACACTGAACGGAAAAAATTTCAACTGAAAAGCTCACATACGTGCCAAATTGGTAAAGAGCTTCAGAAATATCATTTTGTACCATTATTAAATACTTCTTTATGTGTATAAACTTCAAAAATAAAGAAATATTATAACTAAAATAGTGTCAAATGGGCTTTGAAAGCTTTTCAAATTTTGTAATCGAGTTATTTCTTGAAGGTTTTAGATCAATCAACTTATCAACATGTTGAATCTAAAATAAACAAATTATGCGCTATATCAGCTCTTTTGTTCCTCTTTTCTTCATGGCTTCTTGCATTGCTACCTACAACAAATAATCACTCATAAAAATTATAAAATGTTCTTTTGATTAGGAAAAGAAAATGAAACAATTTAGCATCACAATTTATTAAAATGAAAACTAATATATGTGTTGTAGTAGAATTCTCTTTTAATCTATCAACAAAGAAACAAATTCTGGCATCCCTAAACTACAAAGTTGATCAACTAATAATGAATGACGTATTAAAATGGATATCCATTTCTTCACGCTAACAAATCTAAAGTGCATGCAAGAATAAAATAAAATCTAGATATTTTTTTTGGGACATTTAGGCAATTTTAAGGCAAACTCACACACACAACACATACACATAGACTCGAACCCTGGACCTCTTAGTTGGAAGCCTAAGCTCTCAACCAATAGGCCAAGGAGAGTTGTGTAAAATCTAGATATTCATTCATGAAATCTAACTTTAAAAACGAAGCACCAAATAATTGAGTTTCTTCTTAAAAGAAGACATATTGATGCATTTAAACATCAAGCCATTATGGGTGGTTGCATTTGATCAACACATCATCCAATCTGATAAGAAGACTATATTTCTTCCTATCCCTCTTCTAACTTTCAAAGGAAGCCCTTCATTTCAATGATGAATTTCCTTCCAACTACAAATGAAAGAAATCAACATTTATTTAAAACTCAAGAAGCAAATTTTGTAAAGAATTCTAAAGTAAAGAGATTGTTAAAAAGATCAACTATTATCCTCCTAAATAGTTGGAGTCATATCATTTGCAAACAAATCTCCTGCATTCTCCTATCTTCAAGTTCATTCATTGATGCCATGGTGACCTGCAACAAGCTTTTCTAGAATCTGCTGAAGCAGAGCTGATCTTCAACCTTAAACTGTCTCTATTGCTATAGAACAAAGAGCAAGGCAGCAAGCAATACAACAGAAGCGAAGTAAAAGTAAAAATTAAAATAATAATAATAAAAAACAAACAAAGAAGTTGCACTTTAAATTTAGTAAGGAAGTCCTCATGAAAAACCTTGAACTTAGACTTGCTTGGATCATTTTCTTTTTTATCAGATCATCTACAACTTGTTGCATAGCTTTGTGCTCAGTGGGACTCGTTTTGTAATGAGGCAAGTTGAGCAAAGTAGCACCCGAAATCAGATCAATCTGATGCTGTATGGCACGCAATGGCAGAAGTTGCCTGGGAAGATCTGTGGGAGCAAAATCTTCAAAGCCTATCAAAAGTTGCTGAATTTCTATTAAGTATGTGGGTGAATTATTCAAGGAGTTCTCTTCAATCACAAACACAGCGAGCAAAGCTTTGGTTTCACTTCCAGAATGTACAATCACATTCCCTGTTACAATATTTAGGGCTGGTCGATCCTTATTAACTGATGGTTGTACTGTATGTGAATTGGGAAGGAGCCGTAGCTTTCTTTTTTTCCATTCAAATGAATATGAATTTGTATGTCCATCCTAGAGAACACCTGTATCAAATTGCCAGGGGCATCCCAGGATGAGATGATAGACGTCCGTGTCTATGACGTCGCACAGCACTTCACAGGTATAGTATTTTCCAATAGAGAAATTAACTCTGCACATATCAAATACAAGTATTTCCATACCTCTCTTCACCCAACTAATCTTATAAGGGCTCCGATTTTTGTGGTCTTTAAACGCAATGCATTAACAACATATCTTGAAATGATATTCTCGGTGCAACCATTATCAACTAAAAGATCACACACTTTGTCATTGATTGTGCTTTTTGTGATGTGAAACGATGGGAGTTACTTAAAAAATTAAAGAGAACAATTTAACAAAGTATTCACAAAATAAAGTTATTACTTATAACATGGAATGATCCTCAGATTTCTTAGTCTTTAACTTGCTTAGGCAAAGAAGAGCGGAGTCGATTAACCAAACAATTCAATAAAATGCAAAGAGTAATTGTAAAGCTACGACGGTAAACAAGAATCCACGATTTAATAATGGGAGCTTTCACCTTTGGAGCCCATACGCTCAAATAGTCTAGGCTTTAGCGGAAGAAGAGTCTCCACATTAGAATCGAGGTCACTCAGAGGAAAAAGGAACCTAGGATCGTCATTCTTGGAAAGGTGGCCGAAGTGGTGGAGGAAGGTGGTCGTCCAATGATGATCCAACGTCCATTTGACCTTTGCTCGTCGATCACGTCAACGAAGGAGTATTGGATACGGTCAATGTATTCTTCAACGGTGTCGTCGAAATCAAAGCCCACGTCAAAGAATGACGATTGGAGGATGTCAACTTGATCTCGATCGTCATGCACAATCCAAAGTTCCATTCGGGTTCCGCCATACATGATGAATTAAGAGGAGGGGCGGCCCTCCTCCTCCCGCTAGGAGAGGTAGAGAGGAGGCTAGGGTTTTGGTAGAGGTTAGGTTAGGATGGGGGTAATGTGGTTTAATCAAAATTCTGAAATTAAGATCAGATTTTGAATAAATTTGGAGGGAGAACTTTTGAAATTTGAATCCAAATTGAATGCAATTAAGGCATTAATGGAGGCTTAATGGGGTGGAGCCAAAGAGGGACCGGCGGTATGGAGAGAGATGGGTGAGGGGTTTCAAAACTAAAATTAATTTCAGTTTTAATGAGATTGGGGATAAAAATATTTGAAATCAAATTTTGGATTTCAAATAAGGGGGAGGAGCATTAACTGAGCGCTCAATGGGAAACCCCATTAAGGGGCCGGCGGCATCAAGGAGGAGGGAGGGGATTGGGGAGGAGGAGAGGAGGTTTCCAAATAGGTAAGGGTGACTAGGAAAGAAAAATAATTAAATCCAATTTGATTTTATTTAAAATTGGATTTATCATTAAAACTTTCCTAATTTGGAATTCCCAATTTGGAAAGAATTTGAAATTCGAATTTTGAATTTTAATATAGGGGCTATGGGGGAGAAGGCCGGCGAGTGGGAAGGTGGCCGACGGGTGGGAAGGTGGATATATATATATATATATATATATATACCTCGAAATGACAAATAAAACAAAAGACTAGAATACCCCTTGGGCTACAAAAACGACCAACTACCCATAAGGGCAAAAACGGAAAAACTAAAATAAAATGATTAATACATAAAATGCTAATACATAAAATGCATCAAAAGTAAAAACTCTCCATCATGGCCATCAATCTCCTGTGTCGCCTCTGATAAACGCGTCGAAACCTCTTGTCGATGTCCCCATCATTCTCCCGGGTGGGAGAAAACTCGACCCCGTCGAGTGAGTACTATGGAAGCTCTCGTATAGCTCTAGAAGGTCTGGATCCAATCTATGTAGCTCTTCTCGATCAATCCACGTGTCCTCTGTTTCCGGTGTTCCTTTCCAATGAACTAGGTACCTTCGGCGCCCTCCTTCCTTTGTGGAAATAATCTCATCATCTAGAATTGCTTCGATCTTCTCCGCTATGGGTGAGTAAGGTAAATTGGGGAGTGGAGCTAGGTTGGGGATCTCACTAGGTGGGGTCACACAAGGCTGATTATGGAGTGGATTTTTGTGGGTTAAATTCAGGTCCTTCAAAGGCTACTATATCTTCTATATTAAATGTAGGATTCATGTTAAAACCTCTAGGGATGTCCAGTACGTATGCATTACTATTAACCTTTGAGATTATCTTAAACAGTCCTGCGCTTCGAGCATGCAGCTTCTTTACGGCGCCAGGGGGAAAACGCTCCGGGCTGACCCGTACCATCACGAAGTCTCCAACTTTGAATTCTTTGAACCTTGTTATCAGCAATAATTTTATAATTGGTGTTACTTTATTCAATTTTCTTTTTAATCTCAGTATGTAACTCCTGGAGATGAGATGCAAATGTGGATGCAAGAGACTGGGTATGCATGATGAATGATAAGAATCATGACCTCACATAAAAGTTTTAGACATAGACACTTTAGGGAGACAACAGACTACAAAACACACACACACAACATACTAACTCACACGAACACATAGTTAGAAAAAAGGTGGACAAGTCACGAAAAGAGGGGATCTAAAGTGTTCGGTCTAAGGGAACTGGTGTATGGGGAGCAATGAAGACATTCTTAGCTACCAGGGCACTTCTATAGGAAGTTTCAATTAAACCCTCATCTAGTAAGTTCATCTCACTATGAGCGAGATGGTCTTTGAAAGGGAAGGACAAGAACATAGCGGGCAAAACAAATGAATCAGGAATAAGATAAGACGAAGGGTCCTGCCTCACAGTTATAATGGGATAACCCAAAGAGTCACCATCAGGTATGAGACTCAAGAAATTGGGTAGGGTATCCACAACAGAAGTGGGCACAACAATTAGAGTTGTGACAAGAAAGTATGGGCTAAGACTTTCTCTAACATTAAAGTCGGTACGAGGAGTGGTGAGACAAGTCCAATCAAGAAAGTCACACTTTTTCAAAGGGGTCACTCCTAAAATGGGCTCCAATAAAACAGGAGGATGCTCAATTCTCCAATTAGGTTAAGAACCACTCAATGTCAAATCACTATCTTCCAAATTCATACTAATATTCTCAATAGGATCAGGTATGGTCATAACCCTAAGATCAATGGGTTTCGGTTCAATTAAATCAGGTGATAAATCTGACTGACTCACTTCCAATTCGAGATTATCCACGTCACCATCAGAATTATCCAAAATTGAATCAGAATTACTCAGAATCATCTCAATATGAGGTATTATTAAGTCAGAAACTTTCGAATTTAATTTCATGGTGCTCACAACCACATCAGCTCCTTTCGAGATTAAGTTAATATCATCCAGGCAGACCTTATCCAACGAGATATCCTTGAGGTGACTAGGATCAGGGTGAGCTAAGGTGTCGACGTTTAAAGGTTCTAACTTTCCTAGCTTAGGGTTTAAGTCATGCTGGGAGCAATCACTTTTGTTTCATCCTCAAAGAATTCTTTGTTATCAGTGATATCCTTAGCATCAACGAAATGGATGCACTCAGTCTCAGGTTCCAGGGACCTTTTCTTTTTTAATGTCTTTCTTTATTATAATCATACTTGCAGGGTCAAGGGGTGGGGAGGCTAAAGGTTGACGGGGATGGCTAGGAGTCGGCCCAAGTGGGGAGTCATATGGGACCGGTCCAACAGAAGACCCAATAAAGGGTCGGCCTTTAAAGTTTGTTGAGGACCTACATGGTGGGGCAGCAACCCTGATGTTACTAAAGGATGGGTGACCATAAATAGGGGAAAGATATTTTAATCCAAGTTCTCGTCTCATATTTTTTCAATCGGAGGTAGGGTATTCGCCACGAGACTCTTTATGATCTTCCAACCTCATCTAAAATTAAAGAGCACTACCGCTCATGTGTGACCTAGCAATGCTAAACTGGCGAGAATTAGGGATATCATGCGATTCAAAATAGTCATCTAATTGTCTAACCCATTCCCTAAAGTAGTAAGGGTCCAAGGAACCATCAAAGGTGGGTAGACGATCATGTGATTCTAAGTGAGGTCGTTGTGGCTTAGACTCAGGTCTAGGTTGATAAGCAGAGTGGGGCACGTAATTAGAGTGGGGATAGTCAACAGGTTTCTCCGTCATAATTCTAGTCATAGTGCCCACTAGGTTAACGATCTCATCTAATCTCTTTTGGAGTCTTATCGGGTCCATTGAGAAGCGTCAAGTGACACTCAAAGATGATTGGGTGTAAGGGACGTCATTGAGACACTAAGTAGGCTCACTTAAACTCACTAAAGGGTGCAAAAATTGTTTGGACAGCAAGCTACACTAGTGTGTTAAGTAACTTAGGCACTCAGGAAGTTTGCTAGGTTGAGGACAGTACCTAAAATCTTAAGAAGCTAGCCTACAGTTCACTAGATGTTTGCAGGAATGATGTGGACAACAAACTACAGTAAGGCATAGAGTTGTCTAAGTGTTTAGGAAGGTTTCTAGAGTGTGGACAGCATCTAAACACACTGAATTGCTTACTAAAAAGGCACCAATACCAGCAGGAAAAATCAGGACAGCAAACTAAACAATGGTCCAGGTCGTCTAAATGTTATAGGGATACCACTAGGGTGAGGACAGCACCTAGACACGACTTTAAGCTCACTAAATGGTGTATAAAAGTTGCTGGAACAGTGAGGACAGAAGCTTATATTAAGGGTGCAGTTGTCCTAAGCACTTAGAATTGTTATGGGTTTAATGGCAGCACTAAGACACTAGCTAGAATGACTTAAACTCTATTAAATGCGTGTAGGAAATGCAAGGACAGCAGTGAAAACAGTGAATAAATTTTAACTACGGGATGATATGCATGCAATATTTAAACTATAACGAAAGGCTAGATCCTAGGATGTTTTTCTAAACAAGAGAACCATGCCAACCATCCTCTAATACCAAAAATGATGTGAAACGATGGGAGTTACTTAAGAAATTAAATAGAGCAATTTAACAAAGTATTCCCAAAATAAAGTTATTACTTATAACATGGAATGATCCTCAGATTTCTTAGTCTTTAACTTGCTTAGGCAAAGAAGAGCGAAGTCGATTAACCAAACAATTCAAGTAAATGCAAAGAGTAATTGTAAAGCTATGACTGTAAACAAGAATCCACGATTTAATAATGGAAGCTTTTACCTTTGGAGCCCATACACTCAAATAGTCTAGGCTTTAGCGGAAGAAGAGTCTCCACATTAGAATCGAGGTCACTCCGAGGAAGAAGAAACCTAGGATCATCGTTCTTGGAAAGGTGGCCGGAGTGATGGAGAAAGGTGGTCGTCCAATGATGATCCAATGTCCCTTTGACCTTTGCTCGTCGATCACGTCAACTAAGGTGTATTGGATAAGGTCGATGTATTCTTCAACGGTGTTGTCGAAATCAAAGCCCACGTCAAAGAATGGCGATTCGAGGATGTCGACTTGATCTCGATCGTCATGCCACAAATCCAAAGTTTCATTCGAGTTCTGCCATACATGATGAATTGAGAGGAGGGGCGGGTAAGAGGTGGAGAGGAGGCTAGGGTTTTGGTAGAAGTTAGGTTAGGATGAGGGTGATGTGGTTTAATCAAAATTCTGAAATTAAGATCATATTTTGAATAAATTGGGAGGGAGAACTTTTGAAATTTGAATCCAAATTGAATGCAATTAAGGCATGAATGGAGGCCTAATGGGGTGGAGCCAAAGAGGGGTCGGCGGTATGGAGAGAGATGGATGAGGGGTTTTAAAACTGAAATTAATTTCAGTTTTAATGAGATTGGGGCTAAAAATATTTGAAATCAAATTTTAGATTTCAAATAAGGGGGAGGAGCATTGACTGAGCATTCAATGGGAAACCCCATTAAGGGGCCGGCGGCATCAAGGAGGAGGGAGGGGATTGGGGAGGAGGAGAGGAGGTTTCCAAATAGGTAAGGGTGACTAGGAAAGAAAAATAATTAAATCCAATTTGATTTGATTTAAAATTGGATTCATCATTAAAACTTTCCTAATTTGGAATTCTCAATTTGAAAAGAATTTGAAATTCGAAATTTGAATTTCAATATGGGGGCTATGGGGGAGAAGGCCGGCGAGTGGAAGGCGGCCGACAGGTGGGAAGGTGGCCGGCAGCTTGTGAGCCCAAGGGGCTGGCGGCAAGGGGGGTAGGGGCTCGGGTTCTTCCAAGGAATTCGGTGGGGAAGGATTTCTTGAGGGAGAGGATCAAAGAAGGAGGTGTATGCGAAAATAAAACCACTAACCTCAACACCACATCCACTAGAACTCACAAAGAGATCTAAAGCATTCTCCTCAAGAACTCATAAAGAGATCTAGAGGAGTTTTGGAACTCACAAAGAGATCACCAAGATAACTTTTCATTCATCCCAAAAAAAATCCCCTCATACATAAGAAGATGGTCATATATATAGACCTCGAAATGACAAATAAAACAAAAGACTAGAATGCCCCTTGGGCTACAAAAGCAACCAACTACCCATAAGGGCAAAAACTGAAATAAAATAATTAATACATAAAATGGTAATACAGAAAATGCATCAAAAGTAAAGACTCTCCATCATGGCCATCGATCTCTTGTGTCGCCTCTGATAAATGCGTCGAAACCTCTTGTCGATGTCCCCATCATTTTGTCTTGAAGATGGCGTTTCATTGTGAAACATTAGACTGACGCCGAGCTAGCAGCAATTTTTCCAAAAAAACACATATCACTGGTTCCCCATCATCCCCTTCAACCTCATCATATTCATCTTCATCATCTCCTTCAGCTGTAGCTTGCTGGGCTACAAATTTGCCTTCTAAAATCTGCACTTATTGACTATTTGGACACTCATTAGACTTATGACACGGCTGAAAACATCATAAGCACTTCAAGGTGTTCGGTCTGTTGTAAGGATTGTCCTTAATCGGAGCCTTTAACTTGGCCAAGGATTTGTTTTTGGAGACTTGTGGAGGTGGCCCAGAAGTGGTATTGCTTTTATTTATTGGCTTATTATAAGTGTTAGTGGGAGCTTTGCTATTAGCTATAGTTGAGTCAGAAAAATGTCGTCAGTTATTAAAAGTGCAGGCATGCTTCTTCAATTGCATCTAAGCTTTCAAGGCGAAATTCGCAGCCTGTGATAAAGTACATATAGAATTTAACTCTAACTTGTCTTGGATATTATCCTTCAACCTGCTGATGTAACATGCCACAATTTGATTATTAGTTTCATTGAGATTATTCCGGGCGCTGAGGCGATAGAATTCTTTAGTGTAAGCACTAACACTCATGTTTCCTTGGTTACACTAATGATATTGCATATATAACAATTGCTCAAAATCAATAGGTAAGAAATGGTTGCGAAGTAGTTGCTTCATTTGTGCCCAGTTTTGAACCAAGCCCTTCCCTTCTCTATACCTCGATTGTAGAACTTGTTGCCACCAAGCGCTTGCTCCCCCCTTTAATTTACATGCTTCATATTTCACTTGTTTGTCGGCGGGGATGTCCATGTATTTAAAAAATGTTTCAACTGATCTTACCCAATCAAGGTAGTCCTCAATATGCAAGCGACATTCAAAGAACTAAATATCCATTTTGACTTGGAACTCCCCCTGGGGTCTACGTGGCACCCCGAACCTGAGAACTCAATTCCCAAGTATTCCATCTTCAGCTGAATCGGACATATATCTCTATTGTTGCTGGAATGCGGCTTCCATATCTAAAGCTCTAAGTTCGGGTTCGTCAATGTGTGCATCCAGATTTGGACGCCTCCCATTACGCCCCCTCTGTGGACCCATTCGGCGGTTCGATGAGGCTTCTCGAGCTACCGCCTGAGTATTATCGGCTCCTACTTTTAGGCTTTGAAGTTCCGACACATCTTTGTGGAAAATCAGCGAAATTCAGCATCGAGCTCCTCTAGTTACTTGAGTATCTTGGATTGTGCCGCCCACATTGCGTTCTCGCCCTGATCGCCGTCAAGGGCGTTGTGCCTACTACTCTCGGCCATCCCAGCACATCACACCTCCGCCTACGTTCACCCAACCAAGCTCTGATACCAGTTGACGTGACGATGTCCTGCAACCTGGAGAGAAAACAGGGCACAAAACAGAAAACAAAGAGTAAAGGTTTTCTTAAGCTGAAGGTAAAGTGATAATATTCAGTATATCCTTTTTGTATGAACACCCTTCCTATCTATACTCTGTAGAGAGAGTTACTAAAAGCATAAAAGTAGAAAATAAGGATAATGATTGTACTACAGTCCCAAAATTAGTTATCATAGCAGGAACTAGTGGAGGTGAAAATATACCATGTGCTGTATATGGTGTGCTTGCGGAATAGTAAGGTGTTGTGAGACCACATCAATTAGTCATGCTGAAAGAAGAGTTTTTTTGTTTAACATCATATATATATATATATATATCACACCGTCTGCCATAGTACCATTTGTTAGGAAGTTTAAAACCACTAGGAGACCATAATTATTAGCCTAATAAACTTAAATGAGGGCCAAATATTTGATATTCCAACATATTTTTCACCAATATTAAACCCAAACCCAACACTCTAATGTGCCCCTAGAAAAAGAATTATATTAATTTAGGAACAAAACACATGCATAAATAACAATGAGTGATCTATAGGACAGATTATACTGAAATCCATCAAAACAAAAGGTTGTTCGCTTCTACTGCATTACTCTGTTGCAGATTATGGACAATGATGACGTCTTCTAGTTGCTTATCTGGTGTAGCATTTGGCAACGTATTTTCAGTTTCTTGCATGCACCTATCAAGCCTACGCTCAACAAGGTCAAGGGCTTCTTTCGAGAAGACACTTTTAACCACAACTGCAATGGCCTTACGTACAACCTGAAAGTAATGAAGATCTAAAACAGTTTGATCTTCAGCGTTCAGATGCTGGTCTGCTGCCACTCCATCTTTGGCATGCTTTGACCACCTCTTGAGCAGGTATCGACTTGGAAGGTGAAGAATGTTGTTGTAGTTAAGAACCTTAAGTGCATGCATGCAAAGAATTCCCATTGATTCAAATTTGTTGCAGCTGCATGCAACTGAGACATTTGATGAATCAAACTCGACAAGACCGAAAGAACGTTTCTGGGGAATGGAGACCCTGAAAGTGTAAACGTTTCTCTCTATTCCAACAGGTTCACAGAGACAGGCAAGCTGGCTTTTATACTCATCTTCGAAATCCTTGTATATTGCTCTTGTATAATATTCCGCAGCTTCCACTAATGTTGGTATATCAGCTAGCAGGGCAGATTTACAAACCCTTGATTCATGATCTTCACATAATTCCTTCTCACGAAGCTGATTCAATGCCCTATGATACTGCACCATGAATTTTGAAGGAGGCAACTTCCTATAGAATAACATTTTGAAATTGTTGTTCATGGTATCTCTCCATTCCTTGGTTGTCATGGTGGCACAAAATGATTTTTTGCAGTATACCAATGACCACTTCTCTCTGGCCGCATATAAATCTTCTAACCATCTATTGTTCATGAGACCATACTTGGATATCAGATTTTCCCATGCTTTGTAGAAATCAACTTCAGAGGAACCTTCACATAAGCAATTCTCAAAGTCTCTCTCAAAGCTGGGGTCACGACTGAAAATATGTGGAATAATTTTTGGAGCATTTTCAAGAATATGCCATAAGCAAAACTGGTGATACGTTTCAGGCATTGACATGACAATTGCCTTTGACATTGCGTCACATTGATCAGTCAAGATTGTTTTTGGTTGTTTTCCAGACATTGCTTCCAAGAAGGTCTTGAACAACCAATAGAACGACTCAATAGTCTCATCCAAGAGTAGAGCAGCACCAAAAACAACAATTTGCTTGTGATGATTTATACCAATAAATGGAGCAAAGGGTATGTCATAAATGCTCACCCGGTATGTGGTATCAAATAAAATTGAATCACCAAAGTAACTATAATCAAATATAGATCGAGCATCTGTCCAAAAAAAGTTGGTAGGCCGGTCCTTTTCATCGAGCTGCACTGCATAACAGAAAGTAGGATCCTCCGATTGCTTGGCTTTCAGGAAATCCAAGATGAATTGTGGATCTCCCTTCTCAAGGTCTCTGGTCCGATTACTTTGCAATAAATTGCAGCTCTGGTTCTTGTAAAGAAACACTGCACTTTCTGCACAGCGAGCGTCCACTACCTGACCTCCACATGTTTGGACCGGTTTGATTCCCATATAGTCCGATTCACTTATAAATGCACGATGGGGAGGGAACTTTGATCTATGAGACCTCAACATGTGTATCTTATTTGGGCTTGCAAGTGGATGATTATGATCATCAATGTACTTGCTTATAGTCCATGCATTATCACGAGTAACTTTCAATTCAATGCGAGCCAAACAATTTGTTCTCTCAATTGCCCGTGGCTTTTTTGTTATGTGCGTACGATGTTCCTGCCGTGTGCCTTCATTGCTACACAAGTAGTGTCTATCCCGAATACTCCCATCCTTCCTTCGTGAAAGATGACCTTTTCGAACACTAAAACCTTTTCTCTTTGCATAAGAATTATAAAATTCATAAGCTTGCTCTTCCGAATTGAAGAGCATTCCAACCTTTGGCTCAAACTGTGAATTGCCTTCCTGAGCAAGAATTCCGTCTGTGAGCTTCACTTCTTTTGAAACAAATATGCCAGAACCGCCATCAAGTTCCCTGGAAGTGTCAGATGCAGAAGATATAGCATTCCCCGCTGAAATGCTTTCCTTCAGCTTCAGTATTTCACTTGCCATTCCAGGAAGTCGCTTACAGCTTTCAGCTATCGATCATTCCCTAAACATTATTTTAAATGGTAACATTATTCTGAAAAAAAAACTGGCCATTTTACTCAATATCCCATTCCTGAAAAGAAGTTCAGAACCTGCAAAACCATGCGAAGGACAAGACTGTTACAGTAGAACCCAGTAAAGAGACTTTAGAAAAGGCATAAAAGAGGACGTTAAAGTGGCTCCCACTTGGAACAAGAAACAGATAATCGAGTTGTATGTGCAACTGCAATAGCAAGTGTACTATCCACAAATGCAGCAGGTAGATAAAATCAATGAAAAAGTCACGAGGAGAAGGATAGACCAAACGTGAATTGTACTGGTGAATAAAGATTTAAATTTAGAAGAAAACCCACCCAAATTTGTAATTTAGCTATAATAGTAAAATATTAAACATTTTAAATAGTATAACCAACTATTTATGACAAAGATAAATATTATATCAAATTAAATGTCATATGCCTAATAATTCAGAACACTATCAATTCAATATTGTTTGCAAGTGATAAAGTAAATTGATTATAACCAACTATTTAGATTCTTCTAATAAATAATTTACAAAATACACATAAGTTATAATCATAACTAGAACGGTATAATGGTTAACCTTTTTTTTTTTATGGTTACCATGTCAACTCTTAAGCATACTATTGATACAAGTGTGTATCTTTGTAAATATTAAACGATTACCATCATTGAATAAATCAACAAAATTACAAAATTCCCTGTAAAAACTAGAATTTTATAAAAAAAAAATCAAGAAAAATGATAAAAATGGTCCACGGTCTTCTCAATGGGGGTCATTTCAGTCTCATACCATTTAATGTGCTTAAATTGGCCCCAAAACTCTTCAAAATTGATATGAATTAATCCCACCATAAGAATTTTATTTACATGAATAAAAGCTTCATACATCAAAAGTGATGCAAGCACATAAGCCTTTTATATTTTTCTTCAATATAGCTTCTCATTTTTTTTTTAATTTATCATAATCTCTAGTTTCATTTCTTATACGAGCGAGCGAGGCAATACCGATTGCTGAATATCGGTTGTTGAGACGTGCGAAGGCTTGCATGCGAATAACAAGAGGACTACAATGAACAATGTATAGAAAATAGAGACCATGTTTCGATCAAGGATGCTACGTCTGACAATAGAGAAGGAAAAAGGCCGATGATGGTTGTTGAGGTTGTCCACAGAGATGTCGTGTGTTGCAGTTTAAGGCTGTGCAAGGACTGATAAAAAGTATAGTATTTTGCCAAATATCATTGGTAGGGCTTTTGTTGAATTTTTTTAAAGGTGGATAATGATTCAATGGTACTAATCTAGAGTGATAAGGGCAATACGAAATTTGAAAAAGTATTAGGGGTGGCAGCTCAGAGACCAGATGCACAAGCAAACATCGATAAGGAGGATCTAAATGAGATAATTTTTCAATCCACCATATGATAGGTTTCATTTGTAGATTGATTAATTTATTTTTATATTTGAAAAAAGTCTGAGTCATTTATAATGTTTTTTTTTTTAGTTGATAAGATTTTGTAGAAAATTTATTCTTAGTTATTGTAAGGTTTACAAATTTTTTATTCATTGATTTCATCACAAAGTATTTGAACATCATAACGAAATGAGAGAATTGATAGGTGAAGTAGGAAACGTTGAATTTTAATGACAGATTATGCTATGTAGTTTCTGCCTGGTTTGAAGATGCAATAATTTATAATAATTTTTAATGGTATTTAATGTGGAAACAGAAAACAATGATAATAGGAATTTAGAGGTAAATGAAAGTAGTAGTGGTGATGATGATAATGAAGATGATGAAAACTATGAGTATGATGGGTTGAATAATTATGAGGAATTTGTTACTGCTGCAGGCCAAGGGAGGCGGACCGGCCGGCCCAGCACACAGTGGCGGGGGTTGAACCTGGAAAACAAATCTAGGGAGATTTCGGCCCCACTTTTGGGGCCCAACAAAGCAATAATTTATTATGATAGGAGGGTAATTAAGGAGGGAATTAATTAGAGAAAGATCTCCTATTTGAATTCAAATATAAGAGGGGAATTAATAAGGAAAGAAGGCTGATGTTTGGGACGATTTGGAGAGGATTAATTAGGAGATGCTTCCTAATTAAAGAGGTCATATTTGGGGGCTGATAAATTAGGATATATTTCCTGATTGAAGATGGCATATTTGGGGGCTGATTTGGAGAAGATTAATTAGGAGATGTTTCCTAACTGAAGATGGCAGATTTGGTGGCTGCTTGTGGAAGGGTTGTTTCGTATTTGTTATTTATTATTTCTATAAGTAATAGGTTTTATGTTATGTTTGGTGTAAAGAATTTTATCTGAGAGTTGTTGTAGTTTCTTTTTGTGAGGGCTTCCTAGCAGCGTCTAGGTTGTTTGGGAGAGCCGATCTACCTCACAAATTATAGATCACATGTATCTTGTTTTTCGTATTGAAGTTATAATAAAAAATTAGCCATTGATATTAGTATTTTTGTAGTTTTCCATTGTTTGTTTTCTGTTTTTATCTCCAAGGCGTATCAAATTGGTATCAGAGCACTTTTTCGGGACCTATGGCGTCAAAGGTGGAGGTGTTGGAAGAAAATGGAGCAAATCAGATCCTGGTTGGTGGAGGAGTTCTCAACCATCGTAGAAAGACTTTCATCCATGAAAGGAAGGCTCTCTCATCCATAGAGAACCGCTTTGAAAACTTAGAAGATATGATAAAGAAAATGATCGCGATGCAATTGAAAGCTTTACCGATGATTTCTAGGGCCGAACCAAAGAGAAAGGAAATTTTAGAGGAGATGAAGAGACAGCTCATGGAAATGCGATCCAAAACCCCACCGATGGTTTCAATTACTAACCCTAACTAAGATTTGATTGGGATTCCCTTGGCCGAATCTAAGGGAAAGGAGATCAGATGGAAGGGCTTCCACGAGGAGAGTTTCGTCCATCAAGAGCCTCCTCCTAAGGCTCCGATAAAGAGTGGATCGAGGTTTCCCGAAGGGGCGACAACAAGGAGGGAATTGTGTGGTGGAGTGCCCGACCATTATGAGAGGCATTTCAGGCAAGGGGAGTGGGCAACCAGAGATTCAGGGGGTCTAGTTGATTCATGGGATCGTGCCATGCAAAAACAGATGGAAGAAAGGTGAGAGTCCCACCATCGATACACGAGGGAAACATGAAGGAATAACGACAACCGCTACACTGGAAGAGGAAGAAGCTATTGGGTTTGTAGAAATATTAGGGTGAGGAAGTTGAGGATACCAACATTTTAAGGGGAGGATGCCTATGGGTGGGGGGTGTACCAGGTGGCTATGTATTTCATGGTGAATGGGCTGATGAAGAGAAGTTTATGTCAGCAGGCCTATATCTGGATGAAAAAGCTCTAGCTTGGTTCCAGTGGACGATAACATTAATGAGCAGCTGAAGAAAGCCATAAACAACATCTCATCCTTCCACCTTGAGGGAAAGATGCGTCTTTTGTGCGGGAGGGGGGGGGAGTATTGTTACGGCTGCAGGCCAAGGGAGGCTAGACCGGGGGGTCGAAAGCTGGAATCAAATTCAGGGAGATTTCGGCCCCTCTTGTGAGGCACAACAAAGCCAGCCCAGCCAGTAGTGGAGGGGTCGAAAGCTGGAATCAAATTCAGGGGGATTTCGGCCCCACTTGTGAGGCACAACAAAGCAATAATTTATTATGTTATGAGTGTAATTAAAAGGGAATTACTTAGAGAAAGATCTCCTATTTGAATTCAAATATGGGAGGAAAATTAATAAGAAAAGATGGCTAATTTGGGGGCTGATTTGAAGGGGATTAATTAGGAGATGTTCCCTAATTAAAGAGGGAAGATTTGGGGGCTGATTTGGAGGGAATTAATTAGGAGATGTTTTCTAATTGAAGAAGACGGATTTGGGGGCTAATTTGGAAGATATTAATTATGAGATGTTTCTTAATTGAAAAGGACAGATTTGGGGGCTGATTGGGGAGGGTTGTTTTGGTATTTGTTGTTTATTATTTGTTATAAATAGTATGATTTATGTTGTAGTTTTCTTTTTGTGAGGGCTTCCTAGTGGGGTCTAGGTTGTTTGAGAGAGCAGATCTATCTCTCGAATTGTAGATCACATGTATTTTATTTTTTGAATTGAAGTTATAATCCAAAATCAGCCATTAATATTAGCATTTCTGTAGTTTTTTCATTATTTGTTCGTTGTTTTTATCTCCAAGGCATATCCGAATTTCATGATAGCGATGACAAGATTTGAAAGGATATTGAATTGGTTGAAGAGAATGTAGACCCTTCTATTAAATTTCATGTCTTCAAGATAAGAACAAACAAAATATTAGTTTATCCAATAATCATTATATTTAGAATTTTAGGAGAAAATAAGATTATATTAATTCTTTGGACTCAAGTGGTCATGCAAGTGCTTATATTTGTGATAAAAATAATAAGATGAAGTGACCTTCCATCAACCCTAGAATAAAGTTAGAGAATTCCAAACTTGAAGTATGTTTTTCAACACAAGCGATGTTCAAAGTAGTAGCACAAAACTTGTCAATCAAGATACTAAAAGCAATTAAATTTAATAAAAAATCATAAAAGATGAAATTAAGTCATATATAAGAGATCTTATATTTCATATATGCTTCAAAGCAAGACGAAGTAATTCATGGTAGATTAAATTGTTCACGAACTTATAATAATAAGCCACAAAGTTTTTTGTTATAGCTATGAATTAAAAAAAAAACGGTAAAACCACATTTTAAGTGTGAGTTTTTCAAAAGAGAAGTGATGGATGAGTTGAAGCTTCATGTGTCCAAATCACAAGCAAGCAAAGTTGTGCAAAAGACTCTTAAATAGATTCACTTAAGTGAAAATGACCAATTAAATAAAATATGGGGATTACTGTGTTGAAATTGCAAGGACTAATCCAGGATCTACTATTTCTATACAAACAAGGACTCGAATTTGGAAGGTTGGTAAATATCTGTTAGACTATACATTGATTTTGCAACATGCAAAATAGGCTTTAAAGTAGGTTGTAGGCCAATTATTGAGGGTGGATTGATGCTTTTCTGAAGGGCCGACAAGGGCGTGAACTTGTAACTGCAATTACACTATATGGAAGCACACTTTCTGATTGCATGGGTAATAATCGAAGAAGAAACAAGGAAGAGTTGGGGGTGACTTTTAGATTTGCTTGGTAGATATCATGATTTAATTAAAAAATCAATATAATTTCAGCCTCACATAGATTATAGAATAAATAGAAATGGTTAATAATGCATTTGAAAATGTCTTTCTTGCAGTTATTAATAATTTTTTTCTCAGATATCACACCAACCTTCAAGTTAGTAGGGTTTAAAGAAATTATATTTTAAAATAATTTGTCAGCAGTTATAAGGTCAACAATAGTTAATTGCTTCACCTGTAGGATGAAAGAAATGAAAATTTTATAAGTCAAGGCATTTTAATTTCAATTTCAATTGCACTCAAAATGTGACATGTTACTAAATAATATGTGTGAATGTTTTAATGCGTTTATTCTTAGTGCAAGAAAATTGACAATTATTTTGATGCCAGAAAGCAATAAAGACATGGTGATGACAGGAATGCAAGAAAATAGAGACAAAATCATGAAATGGACTAAGAAGTTGTGCCCAAAGGGTTAGGAAAATATTAGGAAAGAATATATATGAAGCTATAACATATATTAGTATAAAATTTAATGCAATAACTATCAAATCACGACTATATATGGAGCTCAACTCATTGTGGATTTGGAGTTTGCATCATGCAGTTGCAAGAGATGGGAATAGACTAGATTATCATGTGTTCATGTTTGTGCTGCAATCCATATGAAAATGGATAACTGCGAAGACTATGTCAAATCATTATTATTTTGTGAAAACCACTTAAAAATTTTATGAGCACAACATCATGCCAATTAATGGTTTCAAAGAATAACCTAAACATGATAAAATACCACCATTGCCCCACAATTTTATAGATCTACACCCAAGATGAGAAGAAAGGTTCCTGATGAACACCCTACAGGTTCTCAAAGAAAGAAGCTAAGCATAAATAGTGTAATTCTCCACAGCGCGAAATGTAAATAAAGAGGACATAACAATAACAGTTGCAGAAAGAACAAGCAAATGTCCATAGAAATTCAAAATAGTGAGAGGGTTCATGTAGAACAAAAACTTGAGTGCTATCAAGTCCCACAATCTAAAGTTCGAAGGGGGCACAAAAAATTCAAGTATTAGAAGTCAGATGATAAATTTTAAAATTAGAAGAACTCATGAGTGAACAGCATTTAATCTTGTACATTCAGTATGCTATGTTTATAGGTTCACAAACATAATTGCATTGATCATCAATAAGGGAGTCAAGTGCAGTCTAAATCACTATGAGAGCTTTTAAGTGAGTCAAGTGCGTAATTACATGGAAAACACAAGGTTCTTCTCAGAAAGGCTGCTTGTAAGTTAACCTTTGTTTCAGGTATGCAGCTCAAAGTTAAAGCTAAACATAAAAAAGAAAGGCTTTTGAATAATTTGTTTTGCTGACACCTAGGTATACAAATTTAAAGCTAACAAAATAAAGGGATGCTCTGTTGTTGGAAGGAAATAACAAGGTTAATGGGAATTGAGAACATTCCTGGCCAAAGATGAACTTTTGTAATTGATGATCAAATTAAATTGTCATTTATATGACGGATTAGGAAATTCCAATGCCTACTCTGAGAAAAGTGATGTTCTTTTTTGTTGAAACTGATTTGCCAATTTCATAAAATCTTTATGAAAAGTATTGTTCATGTGCTGCCAAACAAACACCTGAAAGTATCTCAGTTCCCCCATTTCCCACATCAACATGTTGCTTAGGTGCAACAAAAAAATGCAGGTAAACTAATAGACAACACATTAAAAGAAAGAACAAACAAAAGAAACCATCCCAAACTTAATAATTGCGTTTTTCTTCGTCAGTGTCATTTCGACCTTCTGAATATTGTTTTCTTCTTTCAATAGGCTTATCAAAAATTTCATTTATTCTCTACAATCAACTTAAATTTGTTCTTTAAATAATCAATTCTTCTCTCCATGATGCCTAACTTCACTAAAAGTCAAGTTATGTATGTTTAAGATGAAACTCTAGAAATCAAATTAACTGAAGAAAGGTTTGTATAAATTTTAAGCGACATCTTATTCAAATTCATAAAACTTGTACCTAAAGCCGTCAAAACAACTGGAATCATGACTTTGAAGCGATATATATAGTCCTCATGAGGATGGTTATACTTGAAATAAAAATTCAAAAAAAATTCTTACATTATTGTTTTGCTTAGCCACTTAAAAATTTTTAAAAAGAAATATAACGAAGCAAGGGTCCTAGTAATTTTACATATATGCGGATTGGCGTGCTTAAGGGGCTGTTTGGTATCGGATTTGAAGCAGGTTTTTCGCAGGATTTGCGGTAAATCCTGCCAAACTAAAAAAAATGTGCTTCTTAAATCTTACAGCGAAATGAATACCCCGTATCCCAGTTTCTGCCGTAAATCCCAGATTTACTAAATCCTATGGTTCGGCGGATATATATGGATTTATGGGACTTGGCCGAAGAAGTGCGCGAAAGGGGAGAAAGATGGTTACCGTCGCATCGAACGAGCTGCCGTCGTCGTCGAAGGAGGCGAAGGGAGAACATTATCTATCTTTCGAAACTTCCGATCAGACAAGTAGAGGCAGCGACTCGTTCGAAACTCTACCTCACCCGATCAGGCGAAGCGAAACGAGAAATGGATGCGATCATGCCAATAAAAGCAAACCCTACAGGCCTAAGGCTAATCGAAGATAAAATACTTAGTAATTACTAATTAGTAAGCATTAATTCTAAATCATAATGAAATAATTACCAATTTAATTAATTACTAATAGAATACTTAAATAAATAATCAATAATTAATAAAATACTTACTAATCAAGAAAATTGTTTAAATAGCTTTCAAATAATTAATATTCAATTGTAAGTATTCCTTCCAATAATATTATTTATAATTATAACTTATTAATTATTATAAATAATTAGTACTGTAATTAATAATTAAATTATTTGATAATTAATTTAAATTTAAATTATATTAATTACAATAATAATTTATTGAAGATAATTATAATTAAAATTAATAAATAGCCATTTTTTAAAATGAAAATTAAATTTAAAATTCAATTTAAATTTAAATTTTTAATGAACTAATTGTAATTTTTGAATTAAGGGTCAAATAATTTCATATGATTTAATAAGTATCATATTAAATAAATTTCAGAATTTAAAATACTCAAATTTTACTAAATAAGTGTGCATTGCGGTGCTGCTCAATACATCATCAAAAATCGCCTTGATTAGATATGAATCTCAAGGCGTATTTGAATTGGAAACTTGTAAAATTAAATTTAGGAGCATCCAATTTCTAATTTCAACAAACTTATAGTTGAACTAATCGTCTTGGCGAGACAAATCCAACGACATAAAAAATAGTTCAATCTAAGCACAAATGAGCCAAAATCAACGGCCTAAATTATAATAAAAAATTTCAGGACATTAATTGGATGATCAAATGATCTTTAAATTTGAAATGCTTATGGTTGAATCGAGCAGCTTGACAAGATGAATCAAACATGCCCAAGATCGATTAATTCCGACAACATTAAGGCACTTAAATGCTAAACAAATGTTTTATGATCAATAAGGGATGTCCGATAGAGTGCTCCGGATTTGCTCCATATTTATGGGCAAGCCACTCTTAAAATTTATAAATATGCCCCTACTCTTTTGAATATCCGTCATAAAAAAATTTAGGTAATTTGTATTAATGATTGTTAATTCTAATTTGATTAGCAATTATAAGTTTGAGAGTGTTTAAGGAAGCAATAAATTAGTCAAGAAGTAGATTGGAGATGTGCAATTTCAAATATGAAAATTTGTTCTATGGGCACCGCGAAGCCAGTATTGAAAATGTTGTGGCATTGAGCTCTTAGGAAAATAAGAAAAATGGATGTGCACTGCAGCACCAAGTTTCAAGTGGAGAGAATATGTGAGCATTTGGAAGATTTTATAGGAGCACATCCATGATGGAGAGTTAAGAGTCGCATCACTAAGTCAGAATAGTAGTTTTTAAAAATTAAAATATCTAAGTCCATTTGGCATATACCATTCAGCTCCAGCCTTGTCGGAGAAGGAGAAGAAGAAAGGTGAGGAGAAGAGGAGAGAAAAAATAGAGGAGTTTTGGAGGCCGAAATTCAAAAATCTTTCAATTAACTAGTTGAGGAAATTATCAGACTCGAGGTAGATAACTCATACTGTTTCTAATTTCAATTCTAAAATACTTATAAAAAGGCATGTTATAAATGTGTTTTTCTTAAGTTTGAAAAAAGTTTTGCTGCACAACTTTTAGTATAACATTGCACATTATATTCTGGACAATTTGACTATTAGAATACAAAATTTCACCGGTTGATTTGTTTTGTATAAATGTCTGGATAATTGTGTCACTTCTAAATCTTACTATAGTTGGCAAAGTGTGTTAAATTATTATTCAACATATCCTTTATGAACTTGGCAAAATTTTGAATAGGCATTTGAGATTGGGGGTCTTTTTTTTTAAATTTGGTTTTTTGTATGTATATACCTTATCTCCTCAGTTGTATATTGCATTTGCATCATCATTCATTTCATGGCATTCTAAAGCTATATTATGAAAATGAAAGTACACTTTGGATTCTATGCTTGGGCCCAATAAAAAAGTATTTCTATTCTATACTACTTTGTTTGGCTTTTACTCTGAGATGACTCTGTATTGGAACCTATTATGTTTTGCTCTGGTTTTTCTTGCAATTTCCCCAAGTAGGAAGGAGGTGGTAAATAGGAGTTATAAGTGGGAATTTTCGCATTCATATCAATATGTGATCTAGTCTTCTAAAACTGTAGAGTAAAAAGATAAACTAAACTCTAATAAGGGGAAAAAGATTGGCCTTGTATACTCATATTGTTGTTTAAAATATTGCAAGAAAAGGCAAAGGCAAAGGTCCTGCTAAGTAGATTGTTTCTAATGGAATGCAAGGGTTTTGGGACTATGAGGTACATATTATTTTGCTAGTTCATAGTTCATTTAGACATTTTGTTGAATAATTATATTTTGAACTATTATTTTGGATCTCTTGATGAATAAAAATCTGAAGAAGAATTTTTTGTATATTCTATATGCATATTCTAGATGTATGTTTTATCATATTTTGATTAATTATATGGCTATTGAGAACTGAAAATATAAATTGGGGATTTTAATATTCTTTGGTTCAGTGCCACCATTCATATCAATATATAATCAAGTATACCCCTTAGTTAGTTAGTATGTCTGAAGAGAAATGTTATCGCTTTCTAAGAGAATTAAGTGATAATTTAAGGCATCCGCTGGTACTGTTTCATATTCGGGATTTCTCTGAGTTGCTGGAGCAAACTAAATAGTTGTGGTAACAAGGTGGCTCAGTACCACCAGAATGCACTAGAAGGTAGATCCGAGGTAGGAGGAAGTCAAAAGAAATTGTCAGCAATAGCTCCAGATAAAGCTATTATTTAAATAGTCACACACTATAAATAACTCATAGAATTAGAATTTATTGAGGCCATGCTAATTTTTATGCTTTTCTTAGATAAAATAAGCGATCAAATTCCATTCATTAAAAATTTTAGATTTATTTTCAGCTGTGCTTCATGGCTTTTATATTTTTTAATTTTATGGTCTCAATTTTAAATAGGTAAATTTTTGAAGAATAACTAATTCAATATTTTAATAATAATAAAAAGGAGGGAATTTATTTTAATTTTGAAAATCAATCTAATCAGCAACTAGTGGCCAGTTTTTGTCTACACATGGTGGAAATCGATTTACACGTGGTGACTTATCAACCATATGGCTGAAATCATGCGCTACATGGTGACTTTTTTTTTTTTTTTTTTTTTTTTTTTTTGACTAATCATTAGCTCACCCTCATGCACAAGATAATATATCATATCTCCACCAACTTAAATCATAATAAGCATACATTCTTGTATACAAACATTTCACAACATATGTGTAACATAATGTCATGTACTCATTTTCACTATATTATGTAATTTCAACAATTACAATAATCATTTATCATTTTCTTTACACATATAATGACTATTCAATTTGGAGAAAGTACCTCAAAATACAAAATATATGATGAAATTTTGATATGATCATGACAATTAGGAGCGGATTCAGAATTATTTTTGAGGGTGGGCAGACTCATTAAATAAAAAATTAAATACTAAAAATTTAAAATATATATAAACTAAAATTCTGTTAAGAAAAAAACATGATAACAACAAAATATGATCCAAAATATGAATATTGAGTAGGATGAGCACAGGTATTCAGATTATCAAACATATCATTTAGATCACAAGGTATTTGTGGTTTCTTCTGACATTGATGTGCAATCCGATTATTATCGAATCAATATTTAAAAACATGAAAGAAAACCTAAATCAATATTTAATTGATCTTATATAATAATAATTTGAGGCATCGGCCTCTTCTGCTAGCAATGCCGAAGGCCTCGACAGTTCGACCAATGGCAACTGATGGGCAAGCACGTGCAAGATGGACATGTTAGGGTAAAAAATTATTTTTGAGTAGGGCATAATTCCAAAACTATCCCTCCTACACCTTAAATTTTTTTTAGGGTAGGCATTTGCCCACCCTGAAGTGAGCGGGGATCCGCCCATGATGACAATGCATGCAAACATGGGCGAACCCCCATTGACTTGAGGTGGGGCAAATGCCCCCCCTAAAAAAAAAAAAATTTTAGAGGGATTGTTTGGAATATTTTGGGTATTTTTGGTAAGAAAAAATTTTGCCCTCATTTTATAAATCCTAAGCATCTTTGCCCATCCCTCACAAAAAAAAATAAATATATTTTTTCCCACCCTGAAAAAATAAACTGGATCCTCCCCTGCATGCAAAATGACAAAATCTATAACATATTGAAAGTTATACAGCAAAAACTTATTAGAAATCGAGTTATTATACTTTTGTAATGTATTGCAAAATAAAATCTTTAAAATCCTATAAAAATCTAAAACCATTGAAATTAGAAGTAGGTTAACGATAGTCTTCCTAGAGACATATAACTTTCCAAACTGATATGATAGACGAAATTGACCCCAAAACCTAACTTTCTCTCTCCTCCACTTCTCTTCTTCCGCTCACGACCAAATAAGGGAAATGAAATGCATTTTGATTTTTTTTTTTTTAAGTTTTGGAAGTTGATTTAGATATTTCCCATATTTTAACCTATCTCTGTAACACCATCATTCCCACTGCCATAGTGCTCCCAATGAAAATTTCCAAAAACATAAAGACAAAGAGCTTGGCATTGCTACATCAGTTCTAGTACCACAACGCCACTTATTGGTACCTCAACGCCACAATACCCAATCTACAGCGTCGCATAGGGAATGCACAACAATTTATTTATACATGATGCAACAAGTATAAAGTTTATTTTATGCAAATCTTTTGGAAAATCTCTACCCATACTACACATTTCCTTCGCAACCCTTTCACATTAATTGTGTCTACTCGTACATGCATATTCTACTCTCTATGAAACATTAGCCAAATAAATCCATTTTTCATTATCTTAAATTTAATAAGCGCACACCCTCCTCTAAGTATTTCTTAATCATCATAGATAATTAGGCCTCATATTCATCTTTACCACTTCATTCACAGTTTGGCT